AAGCATCATCTCCTGGCTCCCATCGGGAACACAATCAGACTGCAGCGTACCCTGTCTGGGCTACGACCTGCATGGTTTGTCTCACTGAGCACTCTTCAGCTTATCCCCAGCTCCAACAAAAACACTGGAAGCTGGCAGATGCACGCCTACGCACTGCCATGTGTACTCCAGGGTCAAAACAAGCAGACAAACAGCACCTGCCAAAATCCCTGGCAGCCACAGCCACAAATAACAGCAGCTCTCCTGTGGCCTTCTTGGGCACAACACAGCAAACACGAGGCAACAGGAGCTGCAATTCCATCAGATAGATAGCCTGAAAAGTGTTGCCCAGAGCAAACAGCACCGCAGCACGGTTGGGTTGGAAGAGAACTTAATGTTCACCCCCTCTGCCCCGTGCGGTGGGCTGGCTACCCCACATCAGCTCAGGCTGCCGAGGGCCCACATAGCCCACCCCGGAGCTCTGCCGTCCCCACGGGGGTCCGGGGCAAAGAAAGAACCTCCAAGCGCTGCCCACAGTGCCGCACCCCACAGCGCCCACCTCCATCCCCCACGAGAGAACATCTGCGTGTTCCCATCCGCTGCCACGCGAACGCCGCGACCCGCGGGGCCGAAAGGTGAGCAAGACCCCCCACCCCGGACCGCCAGAATCGGACGAGGCCGCGACCGCCCCCGGACCTGCCGCTGAGCAGCGCAGGGTCACTCCGCTCCGACGGAAGTGGCAGCGGCGCCGCGAGGCGCTTAATGACCATCGCTTAATGATGGGCCGCGGCCCCGCCGCTCACGCAGGCGCAAAGCGAGGTCAGCAGCGGGAGGACAGGACGGGCCTGCGGGACAGCTTCCCCGGCTCCGACACGGCCGCGGCTCTCTGTGCAGATCGGGCGTCTGGGGACTGGCTACAGGCCGTTCCGGCGCAGCGCCTCGAGCCCGGGCACGGAGCGACGCCCCACGCGGCCCGCTCAGCGCCCGGCCCGCCTCAGGGCGCGACCGCCCGGAACCTCCTCCCCCCCGTGCCCCGGTGTCTTTGGTACGATCTGCCTTCCCCCTCCCGCCCCGGTGGTTCCGGACCAGTCCCGCCCCGTCCCGCACCTCCGGTCGGGCCGCCTGCGTGCTGCTCCCGGCCCCGCCGCGCTCCACCGGAACTTCCGCCCGCGGGGTGGCGGCCGGGGCAGCGCGACGGAAGTGACGCTACCCCCGGGTCGGCCATCTTGGCTGCGCCCCGCCCAAGCCGGAAGTGGTCTCGGCCGGCACGTGGGGCAGCGCCGGAAAACGCGGCCGAGCGCCGCGACCTCCCATCGCTGCTGCTGCCCGCGGCTCCTGCGCACACACGGGAGAGACAGCCGCGACCCGCCGCCCCCTCGAGCCCCGGTGAGGCCACTGCGGCTGCTCTGAACTCGGAAGCTTTATTGGCAATGAGAAGGGCACAGTTCAGCAGCAGAGTGGGCAGGCCCGGCCGTTCAGCACCGGCGCTCCACCCTGGCACACCGGGGCACGGCCGCAGTCCCGGGGCCTCGGGCACCGTCTCTGTCCGTGTCCGTTTCCAGCCCCAAGCACAGAGCAGTGCCACAGTCAAGAGATGCAGTGGCTCTGAGGGGTGACCTGCTGCAGCCGGTGGTCGGCCGGGTTGGGTGATGCTTCGTAGTTGCAGATGGTGACCTTGTGGCGGTGCGCCTGAATGGGGACACGTCAGTGGCACTTAATTCCTTCCTGCTCCCCACCTCACAGATCAATCTCAACCCTTCCCACCCCTTCCCAAGAGCCAGAGTTCAGCTTAAGCCCTGATTAAAGCTCTTCATGCACCAGTAGCACAGTCCTGCTCGTCTTGGCTCTCACCTCCGTCCATTCTCCTTTCAGACCAATGTAAAATATCTTCATTGTCTCGGCTCCAAAGTTCTTTGGGAAGTACATGGAGAGGTCATGGACATTGGAGAAGCGAGCAATTCTGGAAGAAAACAGACCGACAGCAGAGCCTGCACACATCAGGCATGGAGCGAACAGCTGAGGTTGCAGATCCAGCTTTTCCCCTCCCCGCAGTGCATATCTGTCACCACCAGCAGCCATGGGCAGAACTGCATGGGCCAGGTCCATACTTGGTGGGGTACTCAAGCTGGCCCACAGGGTCGGGGTTGAGGCTGAACGTCTGCTCTGGCTCCCGGGCAGCATCATCAAAGGACATGTGAGGAATATTCTTGAACCTAGGAACAGACAGAAGAAACCCGGAAAGTTATTAAAGTGCAGTGTCACTAATGCGCTCCCTCCCCACATATTAATGCTTTCTGGATCCCCCTCAGCAATAAGGCAGTGCTTTGCCTTCTGCAGCAGAAATTACCAATGTCACCACAAAGCACCACCACAGTCCCAAGCACCAGGAGCAGGCTGGGTTCAGTGCAGCTCACAGCTGTGGCACGAGCAGCCACGTTCACTCACATACGAGCTCCAGCTTCTTTCTCCTCGTGGCTCCGGGCTTCTGCCCAGTACCCAGGCATCGCATTGACCTGTAGCTAAAGAACAGCGCAGCCCAGCAGTGTTACTCACAGCCGCAGCTCAGAGGGGTGCGAGTCATCGTCCTCCCCCATCACGATGACGGCCTTCAGCTTCACGCTGCCTGTGAACCTGGTGGGAGGGAGCACAGCAGAGCGGTGACAGCGGGGCACCGCGGCCTCTCACCACCTCTCGCCCGCCCGGGCCGCGCACTCACGGGACGTTGAAGAGCAGTTCCGCGTCCTCGTCGCTCTCCACGAACTGCGGGCGGAAGAGCGGCTCAGGACGGGCCCGGCCTCACCGGCACCGCCCACACGCCCCGGTACCGCACCTGCTCGCGGTCGCCGCGATCCTCCCAGGCACGGAAAACGCGGGCGCCGCTACCCTCGCGTCGCTCGTTGAGGCACTGCAACCGCCCGCGGTCGATGCGCAGATGCAGGCCCCAGGCCGCGCCCCGCTCCCCGCCGTCCGCGCCGCAGCACCGGCAGCGCCCGGGCCCGTGTCCTTCCGCCATGCCCGCAGAGTCACGCCCACCCCGAGCCACGCCCCCCAAACAAACATCCGAGCCGCCCAATCGCACCGCGCCCCCTGCAGGCATCGCTCGCCCGTCGGCCCCGCCCAAAAGCCGTGTGCTGGGGGCGGGGCCGCGCATGCTCAGAAAGGAACAGGCGGCCGGGCGTCCAGTGTTCGGGTTTTATTGAGACACGATTGTTCTTCTTTTTCATATAACTTCTCTAATTAAAATATTCATCTTAGTTACCACAAAAAAAAGGAACATAGAAAATTGTATATACACATCGGGGACAAAAATACAAACACATGTCAGAGTCACCCCCACCCCGGCCGCAGCGGGGCGGGCAGCGCTGCTCGGGGCCATCGCTGCAGCTGAACGGACTGCGCGAGGCCGAGGGCCGGCAGTGGGGGGATCCGACACCCTCCTGCCATGGGGCGTGGGATCCCTCCAGCTGGGAACAGGGGGACAAATGAGGAGGGACGGGTCCTATGGGCTGGATATGGTCACAGCTCAGCACCTGCAGCCAGGCCCAAAGCCAGGGTAAGAACCGGGCGCACAAGGGGCAGCAGAAGGTCGTGAATTGTCATGGAATTAGAAGTACAGCCAAATTAAATACAGCGAACTGCAGGAGCCGGGAGCAATTATCTTACAGCAGGATGCACTGAAATGCTACACTGTAATATTGAAGCACCTCGGACTGTAACAAACATACAGCACAGAAGAGGCTGAAAACACCTTCCCAAGACCTTCAAAACAAGAAAAAACTCAACAGAGGACACTGAGAATGGATTAAAACAGAACGAAAGGAAGGAAACCAGAAGCAGCAGGGTCGTTCCTAAAGCCACCCAGGGAGGACACTCCCCAGAGAGGAGCCCTGGGCAGCGACCCCCAACCAGCAACCCCTACTGTCATCACCTGCACCTTTTTCACCCAAAGGCCTGGGGCAACGAACACAGCCCAGAGCCTCCCCTCTTCCCCAGCCCTCTGTGCACCACTCCAGCACTGTGCAAGCAGGTCCCACCTGCTTCCAGAGGCTGCAACTCTGCTCGCGCTGCCTCCAGCTGAGGCTGTTCCAAGGCAGATGTACCCCACCAGTGCTGTAAGGCTGCACGAGCCATAGCAGTGCTGCAGCGAGCCCTGGAATCACACCTCACACCCTGGCACCTTGCAACACAGCCACCAGCTGGCATCGTGAGTCTTTCCTTCCAGACACTGAGTACAGCCGGGAGTTCAGCGCTCCTGCCATGAAGTACGTGCACATTAAAACCAACACATTCCATGATGCAGTTCTTTCAAACAAGCGGTTCCAGATTCTAAGACTAAAATCCTCACTCTTTCTGAAGTTGGGCAGAGGAGAACACACAGGGGAAGGACAAGATTTGAGCACCAGCCTCCAACTGGAAACAAACCTTCCCAGTTCCACACAGAAAACAAGATAAAAATATTCCTTCTTACCATTAAAAGAGGCAAAGCAGTGCCTTCAATGATGTCTAAAAACTATTTTTAATTCCAGAGGCAGACAAAGTCCACTCCCTTAAAATGAAAACGAAAAATACTCCTTGGTGCACAGTAAAACTTCTCCTCAAACCCTTTGTCTTTTTATTCCCAGTAGCCAGCAGAAAGCAGCAGCAGCAAAGAGTCCTCAGTGGCTCCTGGCATCCCTGACCAGCAACATAAGCATCTGTTCGAGATCTACAGTAACAGCAGAGAAGAGGTCAAGAGCTAAGATTTTATTAAGTTACACGATTAGAGAGCAAAGCCTCAGGACCTGATCTGCTTGCCAATGGACTGTTGAGCAGAAGGGTAACCAGTGCCACCTGTCCCAGAGTCCGGGTGGGACTCCGGGCCCAGCAGGTATCAGGCTACAAGGACAGGATCCTTTGAGAAGCATCTCCCATTCGGACAGATTCCTGCCAGTGCAGCCAGGGCCTGCCCTTGTGCTGGGCTGGGAGGGGGGAGACTACTGGAAGCGACATAAATAGTACCAGTGGGCTTGAGGGGTGAAGAATTAATTAAAACCATTTCATAATTTATTAAGAGGTTAAATAGTAAATAGTCTCTGGATTTTCTACTCTCAGCAGGTGCCAAGACTTCACATTTTCTCACATCTGGAGATCCTGTACATCTTTCTTTAGAGAGAAGACAAGGCCAGAAACAGGAGGTTAGGGAGAAGGGATGAGAATAAAAGATAAAATACTGTGCTGTCATTTTGTGCAGATCAAAGTCTCTCCCAGCAGCTGCAGCCTCCGCAGAGTTCAAAGGACTTGGGCTGTTTTGGTACCTTCTCCCCCATCAGTGCCACTCCCCCACGAAAGAGAAAAATCCCAGCTCTGTGCTTCCAACCTATCTCCTAGAGAACCTGTTTTTGAAAGCTTTGATAGTCTTTGCCATCATGGGTGCAATTTCTGCAAAACAGGAGGAAAAAAAGAATAAACAAAAATCAACGTTAAAGCAGGTTACAGACAAGAAAGCAGGAAGTGATTCAGAGCTGCAACCCCGGCCAATGAAGGCCTGCAGTGCCCATCTTATTTTTAGGTCACGGACAGAGGAGGGCCCACACATCTTCGGTAAACTCACTGCCTTCTTCTGAAAAGAGCGAGCTTTTCTTTATTACAAGCAGCTGGATGGAACAAAGACAGCACAAGGGAAAGGGCAAGCAGGTGAAGCAAACAAAGAGTGGAGCACAGCAGCTTTCTTAAATACTGCCAGGACCTCCAGAGAGCCCAAAGCAAACTCCAGGCCCCACATCCCAACCCTGCACCTCCAGATTTTCCCTGTGCTTCTTCTTGTGCAAGAAGTTTGAACTGACTTCACCATCCTCTCCGCAGGGAGAGGACAGCTCTCGACCCTCCCCCACAGCCCAGATTTCTCTTGCAGCAGAAAGTCGATTCATCCATGTGCAAAGGAGAAGCTATAGGAGACCACAGATGCTCTGCAGCTTGTACTTACTCTTCACTGGTGGCTTCCTAGGGTCATAGGATGAGAAGGTGCTGCCTGATGATGGGACAGAATGGGCACTGCTGGTGCTGGGCCCATCATAGGACCGCTCCTCGCTCACGCGAGCATGGCTTTTGCCAGATGTGTAGAGGACTGGTTTTATTCTGAAACAAAGACAGGGCAGGTATTTCAGTAAAGGCATCACGGCAGTTTGATGCAGTTCATCAGACAAATGAGCCACATTTGTTAATACTAACATGTCTTTTATCACAAAAAGCCAGCACTAACTAGGATCTCCATTCTTCCCCGTAAGAAAAAAGCCATTACAGCCACAAGTTTCACACAAATGCTACCGAGAAACACTTACTTGGTTCTCTCTGGCACAAGAGCACCTCCAGTTCCAAACTTCTCTTGTCTTCTCCGTACATCCCGAGGGGGCTTCACTGTAGAGTTCACAAAGGCCATTTTGGCCACTCTACCTGTAGGTGGCCAGAGGAAAACAGTGCTTAGATCCAAAAAGAAAGCTTTTGGGTATTTGTCTTATTGCAGCAAGCTCCAGACACATTTCTGCAGTTCATCTGTTGCAAAGCTCGGTAGACAGCCTACTCCCTTTGGTCTGAACCTCCTGCAGTCACAGGGTTGGCTGTGATAAGACTGACTGACTGGGCCAGTAATTCTCAAACATGTGTATGTTTGGTGGCTCTGCTAGGCAGGGGCGTTGGAACTACATGATCCTTGAGGTCCCTTCCAACCTGGGTGATTCTGTGATTCTGTGTGATTCTCACTATACTCACCAACGAAAGGACGGATGTTTTATCCCACCCTGATATTCTTAAATCCTAGCATAAAGAAGTCACAAGGGTTGCCTCAGCAGCTATTCTGTCCGTACAATACTGGTCCGCAACACCACGGAAGAGATCTACAGACTGCTAAGCTGTTAAGTGAGTGCTACCACAAAGAACGGAGTTGAGCAACTTTTACATTGCATTGGATTCAAACCAGCCACTCCTAAAGACCTTTCTCACACAGACTTCCCCCAGGCATCCTTCCCAGACCTGTCTGGCTCCTCAGTCATTCAGCCCTTCATTACCTTTAGGTTTGTTAGCATGAGCTGAGCCTATGTTCCGCGCCAGCATGAGCAGCCGCTGCTCTCGAGCGTCGTGAAGTCGAAGGTACATCTCCCGCCAGGACTCAAATTCTTCTGGCTTCTCATTCTTGAAGTCTCTAAGACAGTGATTATGCCATAGTTGATCTGTTTCCTCAATTAGGACCTGAAACAATGTAAGCAGAGGTTGTTCCTCACACCTTCATTTCCTTGTCTCTTAGCACATCTATCCACGTCCAGACATCAGCATCCCTTCCCCAGACCCAGGCACTCACGTGATTACATTCCTCAATGCGGTACAGCTGCTCTGGGGTGCATTTCTCCAACACTGGCTCCAGCACTGAGAAAGGGACACCACCCACTTCATAGATTGCTAGAAAGAAGCAAGATGCACAGTATTTATCCTCCTCCTTCCTTGCCAAAGATAGGGCTTGAGACCCTGAAAAATCAGCAATGCTGCATGCTGCTGCACAATTCATGGGGAAGGAAAAAGGAACTAGGGTGCAGTACTTCCAGCGAGTCATTAGGCACCAACAGCTCCAAGATAAAAAGTTCCTGTGCAGAGCTCTGTTTACCAGTATTTCCAGTACTTTAATCATTCCTTACAACGTGCTGCGCTACTGACTCCTGCAGCACCAGAGCTTTCAGGGAGATCTCTCCCCTGTTACACAGCTTGCCTAGTGACTGGGATACAGAAAAAGAATTGACCAGGACTTCAGTGGGGACAGAGTTACATAAATCTACACGGCAACACAACTGACACAGACCTGGAAAACTACTTACAGTCAATGTTGTTACTAAGGACTCTGATACACTGCTCATGCAAAGTCATCATCTTTGGGAGGTAGGCAGTTTTAGAGCCTGAATACACTTGCATCTTCGAATTCAACCGGCGACCTATAAATCCTGCCTCGCTCTCTTCAACTGGTGAGGACACTGCTGTGGAAAGCAAGACTTGGAGTAAGAAGGAAACAGAGAAACCAAGAGATCACCCTGACAAATGGCATGGGAGGCACAAGCCAGAATTTCCCGAAGAAGCCCAGAGAACCAAAGTCCTCTCCAGGAGACTTGCAAAATGCCACCCAATTCAGGAAGGGCAATTCCAGAGCACAAGCTCAGGAAGGGTCAGCAAAGGATCTTCCTCATTTCAGTTAGAGCACATGGGGGGGGACATAAAAAACAAACACCTTTTTCTGAAAGGCTCCAGACATCAAGGCAGGACACAAGATCCCAGCGTAAAGAGAGCAGAACCCAGCCTGCATGCATTCCTGCCACCTCCTGCTACCAGTGTCTGTAGCCCATTACAAACCCCTTTTCCTGCCCAACGTACCTTTCCTTTTTGTCTGGGAGCAGGTAATGGACTCAATGGAGGGAAGAGGGCGGTAGTTGGCCTGGATTGGGGGCAGTGGGATGTCTGGTAAGGTTGGCACCACATCTATCAGCATCTGGAAGGAAAGGATGTATATGCAACTAAGCTGAGAACGTTACATCCTGCCAGTGTACAAACAGCACCGAATTGCTTTTTGTTTGGCACTGCCAATAAGCCACAATGATGATCAGCTTGCACCAGGAAATAGGAGGAAGCTACACTTCGGCCACATTGCCATGACTATCTAAGCTGCCAAATACACAGAAACCAAAATCCGGGATCCAAATTACTCAGCACCCCCTAATAAGAGACATCTATGTCTTTAGCTCATTAAGTTCACTAGTAAAGGGCTCTGTTGAGAACCCAGATCAGATTAACAATGCAAAGAACTGAAGGAAAAAACAGCACAGAAAAGGAGACAGAAACACCTCCTTGACCTCAAACACTTCCTAATCTGTGATGTCTCCTTTTGTCTTTCCGCACTCCTGCAAAAGATTCAGCTGTGATGGAACAGAGGGGAACATCAAACTGGGGGAAAGTCTTGAACTGCTATAAGAAACATCAGAATGAATGGCAAGGTAGGATTGTAAAATGCTGTTAGGATTATAAGAGCACCGGTTGAGGAGAAGCGTTTCAAAGTCAAGTAAAAAGAAAGTAGCAATGGCTTTTACACAGTACTCCCTACTTACATAGGCAACTGACATCTGTGAGGCAATGAATATATACAGAAACATTACTTTTTTTTCAGGCTTTCACAAAGGAAGTTCAGGCTTCTAGAATAAGCTGCACTGTAGCACCAATTCTCCCATCTCTCCCCGATTCCTGGGGCCCCACACATCCAGTTAATAAAACTACAGTATTGACAAAGAAGAAAAAGTTATCTATTGAGATCAGAAGTGAGCAAAAGACTTGGGAACCTCTCTAGGAGGCAGAGATGCCATTGCATATTAGGCAAAGTTCTAAATTTATTCATAACTAGAGACATTGTTAAAGAAGTGTTTCACACTTAGGTTTTCTTATGAGTATTTGCCTGAAAGTAGTCTCTCTTACTTCCCGTTTTTGAAACAGTTGAATTCTGGCTATTGAATTTCCTTTTCCCTCCCCCTCCACTCACAGCTCCAGCAGAGTTCCACCCCAGCAGCGCACATGGGCGCCTGTGGGGCTGTCCTGCAGCAGGTGGGTGAGACACAGCACGTCCCAGCAGGAGCCTGGGGTCACCGACTGCACTGATGAGACACCTTGAGCACAGCCTGATTCGGGGCCGCCCAGCACACACCAGGGAAAGCCAGAAAGCCCCGGATAGCAGAGGACTAAGGGCAGCTGATCCCAACTTCTTTGAAGGATCTGAAAGCGAGCAAAACCTTACCCTGTTTGATTTAGGAGGCTCTGCTTGTTTCTTCTCTGCTTTTTTCTCATTTGTCCGCTTGTGGCTTGGGCTCTTGCGACTCGAGCTGGAGCTCTTGGTGCTGGCTTTGGATCCATTCTGTTTGCTGTGCCCTTGATCTTTCTCCCCAGCTGACGTAGAGGGTTTGGCCACTTTCTTTTTCTTTTTCTGGGGCTGGTCATAGCTGAGGTATGACTCAAAAGACATAGTAGGTTGTTCAAACTCATCCTCCACTTCCCCGTCCCCAAAACTCGAGGACAAGTCAGTAGATTTTCTGTCCAACTCAGTGGCTTTGTGCTTCCCCTCAGATGTTTTTAAGCTCCCAGAAGTCCCCTTTTCCTTAATCCTATTTGAGGAGTCACTCTCACCTTTGTGTTTCTCCCGCTCTGTGTTAGAAGTCTCCAGGCTTGGCTTGGACTTCCCCACTTTGCTTTTTTCAGAGTTCTGATGTTTTCGCTTCTTAGTGTGGTTGTCCACAGACTCTTCCAAGCGTGGCTGCACGTGCAGCTTCTCTTTTCTGGAAGAGCTATTTTCTCGGTTTTTCTCCTTCTTAGTGCCATCTGACATCCTGTGCTTTTCCTTGCTGCCCCCTACCACAGGGCTTTCTCGGAGATGCTCTTTAAAAGAGGTCTTGTGCAATTTGTCAGGGCTGAAGGCAGAGGATTTGTTCTCCCCTTGGCCATCAGGTCGCTGCTTCTCCTTGTGAAAAGACTTGTGCTCTTTGTTTCCACTCGCATTCCCTTTGTCATGGAGATCACTAGGGTTCCTCTCCCAGCTTTCCCCCAGCTTCTCCTGAAAGCCATGGCCCTTACTGGCTTTACGATGAAACACTGTTGGTTCTTCCTGCTCGTCAGAGGCATAAGGGTCTGTGTACGTATCCTGAGGGCTCTCACTTGGCTCAGGTGACACAGCTTGTCCATAGTCCGAGTACTCCTGATCTGAAGAGAGCACTGGGGAAGATCTGTCCCATCTCTTATCCTCTTGGCTGCTACAACCATAAGCCTCATTAGATTTCTCAGGCCCTAAATACCTTTTGGATTTCTTTTCTCTATGATCTGGGCTGTAGAGCTGGCTGCAGGAAGGCTGGAAAGGCTCTGAGTAGTCCTGGTCATGTTCCTCATCCTCCTGGGGAGAAGGTGCTTGTCTTTTCCTTGAGCTGCTCCTCTCATAGTCGCAGTCTTCAGAATCTAGATTATTTCTAAAAGGACGAGAAAACAAATTACTTAGACTGAAACTTCCCAGTACGAATGGAGTCACTCCCCGTGGGCAATATGGATGGGAATCTCTTACAGAGGACTAAAATTGCATTTGGAAGCTTTGTGGCAAGAATACCAAAACTCTCCCTAGCACAGCAACATTCAGGGATTTAGGAACCACATTTCTTTCATAGGAATTAAGCATTTTTATAAGGACTAAAAACTTCACAGTTCACTGGGCAAGTGGAGGCAAAGGTGTACAGAGATGTCTCTGTGTCATACACTCCTGGCCGCACGGTGTGTAAGGAAACAGGAGCTCCCAGTTCACTCATTAAAGCAGCAGGGACACCACTGCCATCAAGGTTATCATGAGTACCTGAATCCTTATCATCCAGATCTACATCCCGATCTTGCTGGAATCAGCACATGGCTACATAGTGCCAGCATTAGCTTCAGTTTCTGTGGCATCTGTACACACAGAAATCTTCTTTCAAAGCAAGCCACTTCCTTTACTTGGGCCTAAAACTTCCTCTCTTTGGCATCGTGAGTGGGAAGCAAACTGATTACATCTCTTGCTTCATTAGAAGCCCTTTCTTGGCTGCTACTGATAATCTTCTCATCAAACTGCAGTTTCTTGGAGGTTGGTCCCTGCCTTCACTCTGAACTGCAGCCGTCAGCAACTCAACACTGTGGTGAGGACAGGGAGGAAGTTTGTTCCAAAACAAGGCAGATGCCCCACAGAGCACACTGTGTTACAAGTTTTTCCAGAGCCTTCATTTGTTTCCATGATCAGAGCAGTTTGTAATCTGCACTGCAAAAATTAAAAAAAAAAAAAAAAGCAACTTTTCCATAACTGAGCAGGTTTACTCACCTATCTGCCTCCTGGGAGACCGGCACCAGCTTCTTCCACCTGGCAACGAGGTTCTTGGCAAAGTCTCCCACCAGCTCATGCTTCCGTAAGCTGTTCACTGTCTTTCCAACGCCTGTCTCCTTCAGGAGAAAGAAAAGATAAAAACTAATCTCAGCAAAGCAGTCAGCACTCACAGCCCCACAGAGCTTCCTGCAAAGTTAGCCTGCTACCTACGAGTTCTAGGTCAAAGTGAGCCTCCTTAATCTAACAGCAAACCACACGTAGCGCACTGTGTGTCCAGCAGACACTGTATAGCTTGCTACAGCACTGTAAATTAGTGAAGACGTAACTCTGTTTTAAGTCAAAAGTTACTTAATTGGCTTAATAAACCAAGGTATTATTTACCATAACTGCTTGAAGACAGAAGTTGGTCACTAATAGTTCCAAAGATTTGCAGCTCCTAATGCGATGCTGCTTCAGTCACCATTAGGAACTGTTCCGACTCGCAAATCCTGAGCAACCGTTAATCTCGGGAAGAGCTGAGCACCACCACCTGTCCTGCACTGCTTCACACCCAGAGGAAGGGCTGAGATCCTCTCTGTAACCGGGAATTCTAGAGTTTCATCCCAGCCATGTCTATGACTTCACATTGGAGCAGGTGGTTCAGACAGCGTATTCTGCTCCAGAAAGCAGCATTTTTCTAGCAGACAGATTGTGTAGCTTGACAGACTTGAAAGCACAAGATATTTCACAGCTCTTACCACAAGAATGTCAACTGTGATGGGCAGCTCAGACAGCTTCTTCAGACTCTTCAGCAGCTGCAGAGGCAAGGAGGACAGCATTCAGACTTGTCAGACCGAAACACACTATGATTAGAAAGGGAAGCTCTGCAAAAGCTTGTTAGAAAGATCCAGGTGGCAGACAGCTGTTACCTTGCTCCAGATCAAGCCCCTAAGAAGTCAAACTTGAGGGCCAGCTGCAAAGAAGTTACTGCCACTTGGCCAATGAGGGCCACCTGAAAAATCTTAAACTTACTAAAGTACAAATTCTTTCTTTACAGAGAACTGCAACTTAACTTTGCCTTACAGTATTAGTAGCAAAGCCATTTGCTTTCAGGTGCCACAGCCCTGAGGCACAAGAAGCTGAAGGAAAGACTTAGAAACTTGTAACTCTCAGAAGTGGCCCTGAGAAGTGCATCCCTTTGCAAGGGAGAGACAAATTAAATAAAGGAGATAACTTCATCAGGTTCTGCAAACCAGACACCGAAGAAAGCCTTTCAGATGTTCCTGAGGATGCACAGAATCCTCATCTCCCCTGCAGAACCTCCCTGGGCCAGTTTGCAGACAGTCTCTCCCCTCTCAGATACCACTAGAAAAACCAATCAATCCCTCCAGGACTGCTGCCTCCAGCCCCACTCTCTTCATGCCTTTCCCCAAACCCACTCACTGACTGTGGGGCTGGGCAGCGTGGGCATAAATGGAGCAGTACTGGTGCTTGGGCATCACCTCACTGCGATGCACAGAGGCTTTTTAGCAACAGCACAGACCTAATAGCACCACCACTTCTTGTATTATCTCCCACAGCTACAGCCACAGCAAAATTGTCAGCATTCCCATTATTGTGGCACCTCTATGGCCATCTTTGTTCATACGCCATACAAAGGGCTGCCCCGATCCAGAACATCTCCTTAAAGCATTGTACTCGTGCTGAAATCAGTACCATCAACCTAAGCAGCTCTCATCACCCTGCTTACACCACACAAGAACCCAGAGGTTTAGGAAGCTTTGCTCTTTTTGAAGGAAATAAATTCTTTTTGCTTATTTGAAGAACCCACAGAGAAAAGAGCCCACCTCACTTAATCAGAATGACAGTATGGATCCTATTCACCACAAACCACTGCCCCACTGGTCATACGTAGGACTTCATTACTATGAACGAAGGATTAGGTCTTCTCCTTGTTCTGGAAGAGTTATACATTCCAATACCAGCATCATGGCATTTTTCAGCACTCAAGTTAGGGTGCCAAGGAGGATGCAGCAGTTCCAGATCTGCTCTTGTACATCCAAGCAGCAATTCCACCCCATGCCTGCAGCTACGGGCTCAGAGGCCCTGGTGCAGGTAACACACTCCTCCACCTTCCTCAAGGACCAGAAAAGCAGAAAGCCATTGAGCCAGGAATCCCACTGTCCCTTCAGCACTCCAGGGCCACCAGTTCTTCACCAGCACTGCTGCTGAACAGACTCACTTGCAGGTGGGGACACGGAACCAGCAGAGGCTCTGTGGCCACAATCCAGCTCAGTGCAGCAATGCTAATGGTGAGGACAGAGCCCTCCCAGCCAGGATCCCTTCAGCAACACAGCAGTTTGGACTGATGCACAAAGAGCTTGCTGGAAGGGAGCGGGCATGAAATCCAAATGCCGGATCCTGCACTTTGGCCACAACAACGCTGGGCAATGCTACAGGCTTGGGGCAGAGTGGCTGAAAGACGGTGTAGAGGAAATGGACCTGGGGTGTTGATTGATGCTCGGCTGAACACAAGCCAGCAGTGTGCCCGAGTGGCCAAGAAGGCCAATGGGATCCTGGCTTGCATCAGAAACAGTGTTGCCGGCAGGAACAGGGAAGTCTGGTGAGGCTGCACCTCGAGTGCTGTGTTCAGTTTTGGGCCCCTCACTGCAAGAAAGACATCGAGGCCCTGGAGCGGGTTGAAAGAAGGGCACCAAAGCTGGGGAAGGGTCTGGAGCACAGGGCTGATGAGGAGAGGCTGAAGGAGCTGGGAATGTTCAGTCTGGAGAAGAGGAGCTCAGGGGAGACCTCACTGCTCTCTGTAACTACCTGAAGGGAGGTTGTAGTGAGCTCGGGTTTGGCCTCTTCTCTCGTGTAACTGGTGATAGGACTGGAGGGAATGGTTTCAAGCTGCACCAGCGGAGATTTAGGCTGGATGTCAGGAAATACTGCTTATCTGAAAGAGTGGTCAGGCACTGCAATGGGCTGCCCAGGAAGGCGATGGAGTCACCGACCCTGGAGGTGTTCGAGGAACGTTTGGATTTTTTGTTGAAGGACGTGGTTTAGTGAGAACTGTTGGTGATAACTGGATGCCTGGACGGGATGGTCTTTTCCAACCTTGGTGTTTCTGTGATTACTGTGATGAAAGGAGAGGAAGGTGGACCTTGTGCTGGATAGAAAAGAGTAGAACAGGGTGATATTGAAACAAAGCATCTCTCTAAGCTGATCACCTTCTTAGAGAGTTTGCTTCATATTAATAAAAATGGCAGTGTGAGAGTACATGCCAAGGGAAAACTCCTCCTATTATCCTCAAGGCCACCCTGGCTATATTCTAGCTTCACTCCACTACAGTATCTCCAACAACACTTTTATTGTGACGAGTGCAGCTCTGTGGCTCTGTCTTTCTGACACAGTAAAGCTGTGCCTGCTACTGAATTGTGATGGAAACAGCAGAAGCCTCTACAAGACAAGGGAACAGCACAGCTGACATCACAAGAAAGGCAAACATCTCCCTGGATGCTGTTGAAAAGGTATCAGAAAGCAGCAAGTACAGGTTACAGGTCCTTTCTCCTGAGGAGCTGGAAAGGATTAACAATACGACTGCAGCCAGTAGCAGCTAGCTAACGCTTAACATCTCTCCTCCCCTTGCACTGGAGCAGCACAGAAAGGAATGAGTTCACATTGCAGTGCTACAGGAGACGGCAGCCCACAGAGTGCTGACTGATGCCTCGCAGGGCCCAAGCAGCAAACAGGCAGCTCTTGCTGCACAATTACAGTGGGGTCAGGAACCAGGAGCTGACACTGCTCACACAGCCAGCTCACAATCCAGGCACACAGAGCTCAGCCTCCCCAGCTCCATCTCAGCATGCAGGGCTCTGGCAATTCCACTCCACTCTGGTGTTGGCTGAGGTGGAGGGAGAGAGGAAGGGGGGTGAGAAAGGGACTGGGAGCCCCAAACTGAGCCAGACAAGAGGCAGAACTCCCCGCGCTCAGCCTAGAGGGTTGGGCACTCCGTGGGTGCGTGCCCAGGATAAACCCGGATCAGCACAGAGCTGCTGCTGTCCTCACACTGAACGAAAGGAAACATGACCCAAACACCTACAAGAACACTCTTAACAGATGCTGCCCGGCAAAACGCCACGTCCCAAGGAAGGGGAGAGCAGCATGTGCTGGGAGCACGCCAACCCCCGAGCACCGCTCCAGGTCCCAATTCCCGATGAAGAAAGCGGCTCAGGGGCCCCGAGCACAGCGGCTGTCAGCGGCCCCGAGCAGCGCCGGGACGGGCCGAGACTTCGGGCACTGCCACCGCGCCACAGGCCCGGCTCCACACCGAGCAGCGGCGGCACGGCCGGGACGGCCCCGTACGGAGCAGCACCAAGCCGCCCCGGACAGCCCGACAGGGCGCGGCCCGAGCGACAGCCGGGACCCCGAGCCCCGCCGCCCCGGGCAGGCCCTGACCTCCTGCCCCTCGCGGCCGCGCCGGCCCCGTCCCTCCCCCAGCACCCCGCCGAACCCCGGTCACCTTCTTGGGATCCGCGCTGCCCGCGAGCCGAGCCTGCAGCCGGCCCACAACTTCCAGCACCGACTCCGCCATTTTTATTACTGGACGGGCCGCGGCGGCGGAAGCGGCTTCACCTCTCACTCGCCACACGGCGCTTCCCGGCCACCGCCGCCGCCATCTTGGTTGCGGGCAGGAAGCGGAAGCTGCGTGAAGCTACCCCCTTCGGCGGCGGCCACGGCAGGTGAGGGCAGAGCCCGATGGGTGCCATCTTGGGGCCTGGCGTGGCGCTGGCGGGTGCGCCATCTTGAGTACTGGCAGAGCGCTCCTGAGGGGCAGCGGGGCTCTCGAGAGCCGCGGTCAGCTCGGAGCTCGCATCAGCTCGGGCCGAGCGCCGGGTTCCAACGCTGAACCGCAGCTGGCGGGAGTGCCAGCGGCGCACGAGGCCGCGGCCAAAGGCCGCCCGGGGAGCCCTTCAGCCCCTCCAGTCGCTCACGTGCAGCGCTGCTTTGTGCCCCCGGTGCCTGCTGGGCGCCAGGGGGCAGCTGGGCCTCGGGCCGCTCCCTAAGGCCGCTCTCTTGGCAGCGGTCGGGCTGACTCGCGGCGACTGCTCGGAGCTGGCTGTGCCGAAGCCTCGGCCGGGGCAGCGGTCCCTGAACGCAGCCTTTCCCGTGCTGCTGGGATGCGGCAGGTTGGCCGAGCTCGGAGCCCGCTGGAAGCGCAGAACTGATGACGGCAGAGTGAGGGGCAGTTGGGGATCGTGGCGTTGCGTGGGGAAGGGTGCGGACAAAGACTGCCCACCTGCAGAGCCCCGCGCTGCGTTGCTTCCCTCGGACCGACCGCTCAGAAGTCACGGCAAGAGCAGGGCCGGCCTGCGGGCGAGCCACGGACAGGCCGGAGCTTGTGTGGGGCACCGAGCCGCTGAACAGCACCGAACGTGGCACGGGGAGACACTGCAGTGGTGCTTTTTTTTTAAATGGTGGGTTTTAATTATTGGCAGCAGAGCAGCAGCCGGAGTTCAGTGCCCAGGTGGTTTCCCAGCTTGGTGTTTGCTGTGACTTGTACCCTCCTCACACGTGGGCTGGGATCATTGGCAGCTAAAGGAGATTGATTAGATACTAAATAAGCTGGGTGCAATTTCCTACATGCACAGCATCTCAATAATACGCTACTGCCTTTTAAGAGTAGTCTAAATAACTAGAAAAAAAGCCCAGCTTTTCTACACTGTCTGAGTTCTCTCTAATCTCTTCATGCCACTTCAGCCCCCTAGATTAGTACAGCAGACAGGATTAACCTGTGAAAAACACCCCTTATCACTGAAGTGGTATTCCAATCAGAAGCAGCAATTATATCCCATTTTATATTAACTGCATGTGGCAGTTAAAGGTGGCTCTGCTTTCCTACAACCAGACGCTGGAGTAACACAAACATGTGCTTTCCCTCAGCCTGTCAAAGGTGCCCAAAGTGTTTCGCAGTATCTCACGGAAATGAGATGAGCTGAAACCCAAAACCTCTCATGGCTGCACAGCATGAAGCATTAGATCCAATTAGGTAACTCCTGTCTTACCACAGAGCAGCTTTCTTTTCTCCCTTGACAGAGGCACTGGTGCCAGGACAGAAGCGTCAGCACGATGCTGACTTACAAAGTAACTCTTCTGGGACAAGATGGGTTACATCTCAAGTTCCTGGTGCTGCTGACAAAGCTCACCCTTCCCTTTACACAACAAAATAAATAAAAGGAGACATAGCTACTATCCCCAGACACCTGCTACAGGAGGTGCCCAAAGTGCTTTGAACTGGAGTAGCTCTGCCAGGCACTGCAATACCAGGGATAGTTCAAGTGCCTGGGACTTTTCTCCCGAATCCCAACGGCTTCTTTGAAAAGCCAGTATATCCCTCGGCTGTCAGCAGCCTGGAGATTGGGTCTGGTTTCTGGAACTGAGACAGCAAGGCCTGGGCTGACAGATCTACTCTTCCTCCCCAGGTATGACTCACACTTCAATAGCTGGCTGCACCTGGGCAGCAGGCAGCACCAAAGGACACACTGCAGCCTGAGCACCTGCAATGGGCTTCACTGCTGGAGGGTGCAAAGCCAAGGGTGCACTGGCATCTGCTGAGTGCTGTCCCCGTCTTTCTGCTGCCTTTTCGGTGCAGAGTTCCAGCAGCTGCGCAGGTCAGGAGGAACTCCCATAAAATTCACTACAGAAGCTGGGGTTAAAAAAGTTTTATTTGCTTTTCGGTAACAGGAACTGCTTATTTGCCAGGAAGGATGATGCCATCATACTGCGAGAAAACCAGAAAGAACTAAGTGAAAAAACAGTCAGGTAAAGGTACAGCGCTGCCGTGGAAAAACTGATGACCACATTCATTCCAAGCCAGACAGGCAACAATGACATTAAACACCACTTCTCTGCGCTGAGCTAACTGCCTTTCCACCTTATGCCACGTGGCTTATTTCCATGGTGGAGGTAAGAAGCATTGCAGGTAAGCACTAAGATCCACAAACCAGCCAAGCAAAACAAGAAGGCCAACCCTTCACATGTCGATCTGCCTAGAATACACTCACATCCCTTTCGCAGCCCTGTTATTTGGCCCCAAAAGTGAAGTACACCGGTTACCACAACTAGGAAAACACCAGAGAAAAAGCCACTCAGCAGGAGCAGGCTGGAGTTTCCCCTGCACTAGAGATGACCAGCGCAGTTCATACAAGAGCTGACACTTGTAGGTAGCCTACATGAGCTGCTGCAGCTCAGTCAGCTCATAGTTTATACTGCTCCAGAAAAACCCACAGTGCTTTGAGCACAGATCTCCTGCCCAGTTGCTCCATTCCTCCCATAAGGAATATCAAACTGGTGATGTATTTTGCTGACACTTGCTAGGAATCTTGCAGGATAAAAAAAATGAAGTTGGACTTTACCTTTTGCTGAAACCAGCGCATGGCTTCTTCCTTTCCAATTCTGTGCTTGGCTCCAATGTTGCCAGTCCTGCGCTTCTTATCAGCGATGCTGAAACCAGGTCTGCCCAGCACCTGCCAGGAGAGGACACCAATCGCAGCGCCTGATTCTGGTCTTTACTTAAATAAACCTTTTCTTAAGAAGGAACAATCTAGAACTTCCAGGTCAGCAACATCTCATTATGTGAAGTATTATTATTATTATTATTATTATTATGGTCAGGACTTAGAGTGTTATCTTAAGCAGTCTTGATGCAACTGAAATCCAAGTAACTGAACAGGCAGGTAAACTGTCAGGACAACTCTTGGGACAAACAACTTACCGCATACACAGAGAAACCAAAGCGAACAGGCAAGATGCACTGTTGCATAGCCAGAGGACTCAGCTCTCAAGAAAAGATACTGAGCAGAATGGGTTACGTGTGTGGAACAGCTTCCCTCTGCTTCAGAGAGAACAAGTCAAATATGCCGACCACCACCTTCTCATGACCCACCATCACCTCAAACTGGAGAACCAGTCCACGTTTGCGTCCTCACCCCTGAAATCCCTCACACTTCTGCCTCCTCCTTCCCAGCAGACTGACCCAAATCCAGGGGTTTCTCTCAATATCATCCCAGGAATACCACTAACAGCAACAGTGTTTCTGAAGATGCCTTAAATCAGGGGCCTTACAGCAGCCCTGTGAACCTCAGCTTAGACTTGGATTCTGATGACATTTTTCCACCTTTCAGCAGTTGCCAGACTCCTTCTCCAGCTTTCACACAAACCCAGTGAGTGCAAGGCAGCAGCAAATACTCACCACATAGAAGTCCAAGCCATAGATGCCGATGCTGGGGTCATACTTGATCCCTAAATCAATGTGCTCCTGGATTCCAAAGCCAAAGTTCCCAGTATCTGAGAAGTTGTTTTTTCTCAGCTCATATTCTCGCACCTGAAACACGTATTGTCAGTCATTACCTCATAATCAGCAACAAAGGGAAGTCCTACACGTTCTACTAAATGCCTTTTTACATGATGGTAAGCTTTTAAGATTTCAATCCCACAGCCTGCTTGGGAATAACCAAGTTAAAAACCCAGAAGACAGCAGCAGCTGTATTGACGACCTCTTAAACAAGCACACACCAAGGAAAGGAACCACACAATCACAGCTCACGTACCACGGATGCTAATCCAACCCTCCGCACCCATGATTGTAACTAGACCAGATGCAACATTTCAAAGCTTTTCATCATCTTTCCAGCTGATAACAGTTCAAGTTTTGTTTGTTTTTCCACAGACAAAGGATTCAGACAAGCCCCATTCTCACCTTCAACCCCTTCTCCAGAATCTCCTCTGCTTTGGCCCCACGAACTGTGCAATGAACAGCAATCTTCTCATTTCTCCTGATTCCAAAGGACCTTACAGTGTATCGAGCTGTAGGCAATAAGAGTGACACTCAAGGGGCCATTCAAAGAACTCAGAGCTTGCTCAAGACCAAAGAAGTTACTTAAGAGGAAATAAAAAGAGCCAAGACAATCTCACATTTCCTCCCTGGACACAAGGACACAAACACAGCAGCAGAGACCAAAGACTGCCAGCACTGAGCATTTAAGGCCCCACAATGCACACACCAAGGCCTTTATGTGCGTAACTGCATATTCCTCCACACTGGCTCTACTAAGGAACCTCTTCCCACAGCCGCACCACCACCGAGGCGCTCAGGAAGACGGGACAGCAGCCTGCAGCGCCGGCAAGGCCACCTCACCTTTGGAGAAGACGGGAGTCTGCCCCGTGAGCTGCTCCAGGACCTTGGCCGCTCGGGTGAGCCTATCCCCGCTCTCCCCAACGCAGATGTTAAGGCACAGCTTGCGGATGCGGAGCTCTCGCATGGGGTTCTCTTTTTCACCCTGGTCTTGCTGCGGAGAAACGCCGGGAGGAATGAGCACGGATCGCAGGGGAACGGCGCACGGCTCGGCGGCCAGACGCCGCTGCACTGGGCGGGCAGCAACGGGAGCAGCCCGCCAGAGCCCCGCGCCTCAGTCCCAACCCGGCACCGCGCAGGTCGCGGCCTGTCACGACAGCCGCAGCCTCGGGGCGGCCCGCCGTCTCCCCGACGCCCGTGCCGCCCTACAGCCGCCCGTCAACCTCCCCCTCTCCCTCCCGCATGGGCCGCCGCCCAGCCGAGCCCCGCCGCCGGGCGGATGGCAGCGGATAGAGACGAAACGGCCCAACCCGGCCCACGGGCGCCTCTGCTCACCGCCATGATGGGGGCGGGGAAAAGAGCGCCACTCCGCCGCGCGGGGCCTTATGGGGCGGCTCGGGAGGGCGCGGCGCGGCTGTGGGCGCCCCCTGGCGGTCAGAGGGGGGCGCTGCGTCGCGAGCTGCAGCCTCCCCGACTTCGCGTGCCGCGCGCGGGTCATGTGACAGCCAAGATGGCGGCGCTCGGGGCGGCGGTGCTGGCGCTGCTGTGTCTGGGTCTCGGTCCCGGTCCGGGTCCGGGTCTGGGTCCGGGCCGCGCTATGGCCGCCGTCCCACTGGTCATCTGGCACGGCATGGGTGAGCCGCGGGGGGCGGCACGTGGTGAGGTGAGGGAGGCGGCCGCAGCCTGACGCTGCCCCGCGCCCCTTACCCCCTCTCCTCCTTCAGGCGACAGCTGCTGCAATCCGCTGAGCATGGGCTACGTCCGGGACATGGTGCGGCGCAGGATCCCGGGCATCTACGTTCTGTCGCTGCGCATCGGCAGCTCCCTGGTGCAGGTACTGACTGTGGGACTGTCCCGGCGGGTTTGTTCCCTGGGAGGTAATCGGCGGAGACGGGAGTAGTCTGAGTAACGCCTGCTGGGAAAGCCAGTCCGCGTGTAAATGGGATGCGCGTGCAAAGCCTCAGATCGGCACTCTTACTCCGGGTAATACAGAGATGTGATAAAATGCCGTTATCCTGTGATAGGGTGAGAGGTGGTGGCCTCACACCGCGCTGGGGAGGGTCAGGTTGGATGCCCGGAACCATTTATGTGGGGGAGGAATCACCGTTCCTGAACTGTGGAGATGTGGCAGCTGGGGACGTGGTTCAGTGGATGTGCCCCACTGAATGTCTGCAAACTGTCCTTTAGAGTAATGTGCAATGTGTGCTATCTTCTGGGTTCTGGAAAGGATGATAAAGGCTGATTTATACGTAGAACATACAAAATCTGAAGGGACTGAAGTTGTGGAGGAGTAGAGACGTACTACTGCTCTGCATGGGACAGCTCTGCAGGCAGAACAGGAGGAAAGATGTGATGATGGGAAGCCTCAAAGCTTCAGTTTCACTTCTGTCCTCTTGTGAAGATTAAGGTCCTCTTTCACAAGCAGAGCTGTTAGACTGGTCTGCTTGCAGAGATTAAAGTGAGCTGTTTTGAAGGTACAAGTTGCACTTTCTAACATGACCAGTCTGTCAGGATGTGGAGAACAGCTTCTTCATGAATGTCAATGACCAAGTGAGAGAGGTGTGCAGCCAGCTCGCAAAGGACCCTCACCTGAAAGGAGGATACAATGCAATGGGCTTCTCCCAAGGAGGCCAGTTCCTGTGAGTTTACATTCCTGTTCTGGTTTTATTGTTTTTCTGGTGGGTTTTAGATTCTGATTTTAAACTTCTGAACTACTAAGCAGGTTTAAACAGACAAATGCTTCACAAAGGTAGGAGCACTCCAAAGGAGACAAGAATCCAGAAGGAGAGCCTGGCAGGCTGTAACTGTTGTACTCTCCTCTACCAGAAGGCACACGTAATCCATGTGCCTGGGCCCAGGCAGCAGATGACTGAGCACTGTGAGCACAGCAACACTCGTGGCCACACGGGCTCTAACTCTGCTCCTTTCCCTGTCTGCAGGAGGGCGGTGGCCCAGAGGTGCCCTTCTCCTCCCATGTTCACTTTGATCTCCGTTGGGGGGCAGCACCAAGGTAATGCCCTCTTCAGCTCTCACAAGTCCTAACCATGGGTGAAGGGCATGGGGGCTTTTGTTGGTGGGAGGAATTAATTGTTTGGCCCTCTTTCTAAAAATTGGCTGTATTCTACTAAATGAAGCGGTCCCTTTTAAATCCGGTGATCTGCTTTGGTTAGCTGAGTACTTTATCTTCTGGCTTGGTCTAGCTTGACTGGCAGCAAAAAGGGACATTCATAAGCAGATGACTTCTTGTCTCAGCAGAATTCCTATATACCTTGAAAGCATCTGGGATTGGTTGTTTCTGAAGAACAAGTTTCTAATTGTTTGGCAAAGCCTTGGTGAAACAAAACCTTTGGGGTCACAGGGGTATTTCTCAATCGGTGCCTGCAAGACTAAAGCACCGAAAGAGGTGCTTTTTGCAGTGTATTAAGGAGGCGGTAAGAAATGTAATTTAGGAGCTGTACAGTTAAGAGTATCTGGCAGTGAATTTCAAATAGTCTCCTCTGGGAAGTTCCATGGCTGGAGTCTATTTCTTTGTAGTGTAGGGGGAAGAATTGTAGGGAATCAGCCCCAGACCTGCAGGGATCACAGCAGGCAAGCTGGAGAGCATTCAGCTTGTCTGCATGCCCCCATTCTCCAGGGCAGTATCCTGAGTTCAAGAGCATCATCCATTACCTTTGTGTGCAGTAGTGCCCAGGGCCAGGAGAGCTGTCTAATGAGATTGCAGGATTAAAGGCTTCCTGATTCCCTTGGTAATTCCTGCCCCTTTTCAGTAAAAGGTGGTTCTTTATCAGCTGGAGGGATTAAGGGATTTCTGTCTGGCTTGCTGAGCTGTAAGATGTGTCTTCATACCTCAGGAGTGTATGGCTTTCCACGCTGTCCTGGTGAGAGCTCCCAAATCTGTGACTGGATCCGAAAGATGCTGGATCTGGGTGCCTACACACAAGCTGTTCAAGAGCAGTGAGTACATTCCGGAGGCTAGAGACAGGGGCTGGGCCCAGGTGAGCAGCTCTGGCTTTCCAGTCTGATCCTTGATTTCTCCCTTCTCCAGCTTGGTACAAGCACAGTATTGGCATGATCCTTTGAAGGAGGAGGACTACAGGAAAAAGAGCATCTTTTTGGCTGACATAAATCAGGAGAGGGTAAGGACTTAATTGATGAATAAATGCTGGCAGGAGAACAGAAGCTTTAGTAGTGAGCTCCTTCATGTTCTCCATGCTGAGAACATGAACTCCTTTGCTGGAGCTCAAAAGGAGCATTTTTTTTGCCCTGCAGCCCAGGAATGTACAAAGTGTTTTCACTGATAGATACATGAATGAGATTTATCCATGCCAGAGCAGTTCTTCTGTTGCTGTGCGTTTCTGGAGTTCTCTGTGGAAAGCTCTACCAAAGGCTCAGTGTGCCCCTAACCTTCCAATGGACAACTCCTCTGAGGGCAGGGGAGGACTGTGCCTTTTTTACAGCCTGGAGATAAAGCTGAATGCCACGAGCACAGCAAAGGGAGATAGAGCTTAGAAATTCACATTCCTGCCTCCAATGGTGCAGTGCAGGATTTCATTTGTTGGTACAGAGTAAGTTGGAGCAGGCAGTTTCCTGGCCACTGTCTCTGGGTTTTTACTGACCTGGAACTTCCTGTCTTGCTTTCAGAGCATCAATGAGACGTACAAGAAAAACCTGATGGCTTTGAAAAAGTTTGTGATGGTGAAATTTCTCAACGACACTATGGTTGATCCTCCAATCTCTGAGGTGAGGCAGTCAGGGCAGATGCTGTTTCTGGTTTGCATTTTGGTTCTTCCTTGCCTGTTTTTCAGTGGGCAGAACTTTCTGAGAAGGATGCCTGCACAAATAGGCCCGATGCTGCACCGTCTGCAGCAGCGCATGCTGGCAGGAGTTGGTGAACTCCTGGCCTCTTTGCCTGCTGGGAGTCCTGCAGCAACTGTGTTTTGTTTTTGTTTAATTCTGACAGTGGTTTGGGTTTTACAAAAGCGGCCAAGCCAAGGACACCATTCCTTTGAAGGAGACCTTGCTGTACAGAGAGGTACGTTCTGGGCAGTGTCTGCAACTTTCACTCTGATGAATATTGCGTCCTGAGGACCTTCGGGAGCTCTGACCCCCGCAGCCTGGCTCTGCTCACCATCTCCGCTGTTCTGGGGGCACGGCCTTTTCTTACCAAGAGCTGTTTCCCTCCGTGCCGTTTCCTGGCAGCAGGAGTTAGTGGTGATTTCACCCCTGGCTCAAGATCTCTTTCCACATACGTTTAAACTTTGCTCCTTTCCCAACCTTTGTTCTGAATCATCCCTCATCCCAAAGTGGCTTTTTCCCCCACCAAGCTGTGGTCACGCTTCTCTTCCTTTAGGATCGCCTGGGGCTACAGCAGATGGACAAAGCAGGAAAGCTGGTGTTCCTGGGGGTGGAAGGGGATCACCTGCACTTCACAGAAGAGTGGTTTTATACCCATATCCTCCCCTTCCTCCAGTGAAGCTAAGGCACCTCATGGGAGCACTCAGAGGGTTTCACTGGAGTGAATGCAGCTGCTACTGCGCAACAGTATTTTGTGTATGTGCACGGGGGTGTGGGAAGAGTGGGGCTGGTTGGGGTGGGTTTAATCTCAGCAGTGGCACCTGCTATACACTGCAGCAAGAGCCTGGAAATCACCTGGATGTAATTAGTTCCAAGACTGGGGGGTTCAGCCTTGCACTAGCTTTGAAGCACTCCATGCCACACCACCCCTGTCTACTCCTGGTCTCAGAGCTGTGGCTGTGCTGGTCACCTGGTGATGGTGAAATGACTGAGCTGGTTGAAAGGTCTAACAGCTGCCTTCACAGCCTCTGTTGCCTATTCCTCTGAAGAAGCAATGGCAGTATTAACCGAAACCACTGGAGCAAGAATGCTGTACCTCTGAAAGGGAGGAGCAAATGGAATGACAAGGCTGTATGCAAAGAGATGAGCCTCTCCTTCACTGTGGGGGGAAAAAGACCGCTTCTAGGAGGTTCTAAGGAAAATGGAGGGGTTTTAATTAAGTGGGGTTTTAATTTAATTAAGTATTAACAGCTTGAACCATTTTCAACTAATGGCTTGTTTTAGATACTTTGGAACAGCAACTGAAATCAATAAAGAACTTGAATCTAACAAAAAAACCCAAAAAACCAGCCAGGGTGTGATTTGAAGACCACTGTCAAATTGACACAAAGGGAGTTGAGTCCTGAGCTCCCCGTGGTGCGAGTCATCCTCTGTGCAACCCAGAAGGGGTCGGGCAGCAGGGGGCATCTTTCCTGCTGAGCTCCACGGAGCAGAAACCAGGCGCTGCGATGAGCAAGTTGGCATTAACTTTATTCTATCTTCTGTATAATCTTACGTACATAAGAAAGGTTTTTTTCCACAAGCCTCAGGAGAAGACGAGTACAAGTCACAGGACAGTCTTAAAATAAAAAATTGCATATTTTTGTAAGTCTTGTCCTAGAGAAAGAAACATTGACACTTTACAGAGGAAATGCATTTAAGATATGCTTATGCCACCCGAGGCATTGGAAAAATGAAGGTCAAAGCATGTGCAGCTCCCTTTATGGGTCAATACAGTACTATGTCTTAGCTGCAGCTCTCTGTTCCAGTGCTACAGAACAGAGGCTACAAGCTTCCATCAAAATAAAAAGCCAAGCAACGGGGGAAAGGGCAGTCTGAGAAGATTCACCTCTGGTGACTGATTGCAGACGAGGAAGAGAGCAATGAACTGATTTGATCCCACTTGGGCAATTTACAATACTGCACTACTGACCCTGGAATGAAGGAGACCTTTCCTCTGCAGGAGGAACAGGTTCAGAGCTGTCTGGAAGACTGAACCTGAGTTCAGCTGCTCAGAGCAGGAAGCCCTGGAACAAAGCCTCCCTTGAGAAGGTGGAGGGCTCATGGGAAGAGATGCTCAGCTCCAAATTACCAGCAAGACTGCTGGAGGGGAAAAACGCAGTTAGTTCTCCGCAGTCTTCCTGTGGCACTGATTAATAGAAAGCCTCCTGTCATGGCACAATCAGAAACACACTGAGCTAATAGGAATGATGAAAGGGAAATCGGGGTGGAATGCTATGGTCCAAGTCCTCAGCCTTTGGTCCAACAAAGCCATTCCCAAGTCCTGTAATGCCACTGGTTAGTATAAAGAGCTGGAATGGGCAGCTTCCAGGACCTTCTTCAGATATTTGCAATAGCAACCGTGTACTTCTGGACCCCAACAGACATCATTTGTTAAAAAGGGAACAACACTCCTCTCACAGGATCAATTTGCCTGAAGGCAATACAAAAAAAAAAGAAACCGAACAACACTCTGAAAGCCAGCTGCCAGTACTGGCTTTGAATTCACCCAAAATCTGACATGATTAATTGGTGCAGTTAGATCAGACAAGGGAGGGGGGAAATAAACCTTCCTGCTAATAGATGTGGACAACACCTGGCCCGTCACCTATACCAAATCCCAGCCAGAGGTATTTCAGTGATGGCAGGTAGCCGTGTCTCTCGGGTAGAAAAGCAGTTTGAGAGCAGAAAGGTACGAGAAATCTAAGAGAATCATCTGAAAGCAGATTTGTCCCACAGCAGAGCCAGGGAGGGCACGAGCCTTGGAGCCGTTCTGCTTAGCCAGCAATTTCTGTCACAGTGGTAACCAGCTTCTGACCGTTCCACACTGTCTTGAACTGTTCTGGGACAGGGAATTCAGTCTGGAGAGTAAGAACAGAAATCTGTTGTCACGAGTCTGTTTATGACCAAGTCTGGTAACTGCTCCCGTTGTTTTAGGAACTTTAATGTATGTGTTACGTCCCCTCTTGTACCAACAAACACCTCCCGTTCTGTCCCCCCCACGATCCTGAGGAAGAAGCAGATCTCACAACACAGTCACTGTAAAGAGAAACAGCCCCATTTGCTGATTTTAGCATCTAATTGTCATTCACAACCTCCAAGCCTAGCATTAGAATGGCAACTCCAGAACCATCCCTCCAGGCTCATCCCAACTGTGGCCCATTGTGGGCCGTTCCCGTGGGCCTCAGAGCAAGAATCGCGCGGCGCTCCTCAGCCGAGGTCCAAACCGGCACTTACAAAGTCACCGCCCTCGGCGGGAATAAGGACGTTCATCTCTGAGGACTTGGCACTGACGATTTCGCAGTCTAGGGAGTTCTTGCTCAGATACACGTGGCAACCGTCTGTTTTGTTGATGGAGATCGTTGGCACTTTACCCATTACCTACGGAGCGAGCAAAGGAGCACTGAGGATCGTGAGCAGGGCAGCCCTGCTCCTGGCCCTTGTCCTCAAGGGAAAGGTTTGCCCCCTCTGCCCACAGACACACTGAACTCAAGGACTTCCACCACTGGCAAAAATTTAAGGTTATTTCTTGTTCTGATCTCTTGACAACAAAACCAAATGGAAGATTGGGCAAGCTGCTTGCCCCGGATCCAACATCAAAAGTGGCATCAGAGTAGATTCTACTGCTGACCTCCTCCTTCGGCTTGCTGGCCCTGTTGCCCACCTCACATAGGCTTTTATCTCAGTCCCTGAAGCAGCTCAGTGAGGCACAGTTCAGCCCTTTCCTGAAGATGGGGCAGCCTCAGCTGCACAGCAGTAGGACGGGTGCTTTTTTTCCCAGTCTTTTCACAGATGCCTGTTGTTATTCCAGAAATCCAGCTTCCCCCAGAGGCAGGTGCTACCGGCACCCTGCGCAGCAGTCGCACTGCAGGCAGAGAGCAGGGCATCGACACTCACCTGAACTTTGATGTCCCTGCTGTTTATTATCTCTACGATGCCCACCACATCATCAAACACCAGACCTAGCTTCTTGCAGTTATCTGCAAAGATAAGACAGGGTAGCTCACAGAAAGGTTTTAGAGATCTAACCTGCAAAAAAAACACCATGCAAAAATACAGTTTTCAGGGTTGCTCTACTTACCAAGGGTGATGGAATTGATCTTGCCTTTGATCTGGAGTGTGCTATTTGTGCACTTGAAAACATATGCTACCTGCTTCAGTTCTGTGTCACTGATTACCAGGTTAGTGGCGTTTTCCTGGTTTTCCTGGAAAGGCAGGGAAATGCACCTTATTTTTAGAATGCAGACCAACTCATCAGCACAGCACGACAGTGGAGCTCCCTTAAAAGCAAACTGCATGTATCAGGCTAATGTCTCTTACAAGAAAGGAGACTCTCCTCCCCTGCTGCAAAGCTCCCATCCCACCAACCCTCACACTGATGCCACGCACTCACCACTCTCCACTTTTTGCCTTCTAATTCTAGCAATGCAGGTTGCTTTGGAGAGGTTTTTTGGGAGGGATTAACACTACAAGCTGGTTTGGAAGAAGTGAAAGGCTTGGGTCCACTTCTTATAGGACCTCCTTGGTTCTTCAGTGCTGGATTCTTGTGGGTCTTCATATCATCTGAAACATGTCTTAAGCCTGCAAAAGAAATCCGGCCTGAGCTCCAGCTTTCCTCCAGTAATGCAGTTTCACAAACACCAGACAGCAGTGGTCAATACAATAACATTTTTTCAGAACGAAAGTAGCTCCTGAGGTTGGGCTGAAGCCCAAGCACAAATGGTAAACAAGTGAAAGAGGAAGCCAGAAACACGGATGCAAGTGATGCTAATGAGGAAGTACTGCAGAACCAGGAGGCCCTCACTGTTCTGCTCTGTAGCTAGAAAAAGCCTTGAGCCAAGCACCTTACCTTTGTTCCACATCTGTCCTGAATGTTAACCAGGTAACGTATGAAGAGGGTAGGTTTTGTGCAGATCTGAACAAGTACGAGATCACATCTTTTGTACTCGAGGAGGACATGCAACTAAAGAACTCCCCATCTCCACCCCAGCCAGCGATTAATCTCTGCCTACACCTGACAGATGAGGCTGAGAACACCAGCTCAGACGGACCTCCTGTGTCCTTGTGAATTGCCTCAGGGCTGCTCTTGGCTGCCAGCCTCTCTCAGACCAGATGCTCTTTTGTTCTGGGGAGCCTGCTTTCTAAAAGCAGGTACAGTCAGGGATGGCAGCAAAAAGGCAGTCCTGTAGCCACTCAGCACGGCATTCTGGCCCGAGGCTGCCCCCCTCCCCCAGCTCGCCTGCTGCGCCACTTACCCGACGTGATGCCCTCTCCCCGATTGATCTGGGCAAAGAGCGCAGATCGGGTCGCAGAGTCGTCCGCACCAGAGCTGGGGTGGGAGGGAGCAGGGGGGGGAGGAGGGCCGGGGGGAGGCGGAGCCGCTGCAGCGGGGGGCACGGATGGCGCTTTGGCCCCTTCTGTTGCCACAGGACCCTGCAAGAGGCGGCAGGAGGAAAGGCATCGCACCAACTCAACCTGCTGCAGGACTGCAGTACTCCAGCAGTGCTCTCTCAAGAGGCGCCCGCAGGCCTGCTCAGCAGTTACCGTTTTGCTCCAGGTCAGCCCCGTGGTGTGGTACTCCTTGATGTAGGCCTGCAGCTCGCTCCAGATACGCAGGTAGGCCTTTACCCAGTCCACTTGCTTCTTATCTCTGAGGACACAAGGAGGTCATGCGGAGGCAGCAGGTGCATTTGCCATCACAGCTCAAGGACTATAGACAGATCATTACATATCTGCCTCAGCTGGACCAGCACTGCGGTCTCACAGCTCCAGCACTGAGTTCTAGCCTCACTATTCATCTTGCACTTGCAGGCCAAAGGCTGCAGGCCTGCTCTGCACTGTAACCCATTTAAACTGAGGGGTCTGATGACTCTGACAAGACCCATACCCGAGACAAGACTTGTTCCCTGAGAAACCGTCCAGCCACCAGATGATGCTGAGACAAGAATAGCAGGACAGGGCTGCAATCTGAATGCAAGGACTCCCAACTGTGAGGATTAGGAATGAACAGCTAGGTGAGGTTTTATAAATACAGCCCACCTTTAAAAAAGAACAAATTAAAGATCAGGGTAGCTCTGTTAGCTACCGGCACAGGCCCTGCACACCCTGCTAGCTGTCTTCAGAGATGCTTTTAAGAGAAGAGATGAACTTACACATCCTTGTACTCCTTAAGGATACGGTTGGTGTAAAACATGGCAGCATCAGTCATTTCCTTTACATAAGGACCAGGCTTTGGAGACTAAAGAAGAATGAACATCTTGGTATGAAGCAGCTGAGGCAGCTGGCTCACCAAGCAGCCAGACTCTTCCCACCAGCCCACTTCCCTGCATTTCTTACCATGGCCACCCAGCCCAGGGCTGGGATGCTCTCACTGACTGCTGATAAGTGATTGAACTGTTTGCTGCCTCGGTTCTTCTCCCTTAAATTCTGCACCATCTGGATTTGCTCTGAAATCGGTTTCAGAAGCGTTGAAAACACATTCTGCAAGGCAAGAGGGACAGTAACAATTGAGAACATCGGTGCTGTTCTGGAAGAGTTGCATGCCTTTGTGAGTGGCTCTGCTGAGATGACTCTCATCCAGAGGAAGACCAGCGGGCCTAAGCTGTGGCTGCAGCCCTGCCCAGGTCTGGCCCTCCCACGAGCCGAGTGTGGTCCCACAGCCCAGCTTCTCCAGGGCTGAAGTCATTGCTCCCCACTGGATTGGTACTATGGGAGTACGCCAAGAACTGTGACTCATGTGCAACCCAAGAAACACTGACAAAGCTGTTAGTAACAAGGACAGAAATAGCATTGCCTTTCCAGTGCTCTTTTGTTCTAAAACAGTTTGTCAGATGTTTCTTCTCCTTCAAAAACCCTTAAAGAAAGGTGCTGTGCAGGCTTTTGCAGTTTGAGATTTACAGCCTGCATTACGATAGGAGTCACATAAGATTCTCAACTCATCCTGTCAACTTCAGAATTCAAGTTACTTCTCAAGTTAATCCCAGCCTTCAATACTTCAATGATAAGGACAGTTTCTGTATGCTGTTCACCTGGAGCACTGAATGCAAGTGTTTACAAGATCTCTGAGGTCAGAGTAGAGCAGTCAATTACACATTTTCCGTTATATTTTACAGTGACTGGAAAAGTACCACAGCTATCACAACGTAACAGAAGAAGCTATGACTGAGCCAGATAACAACTGCTAAGAAAAGCAAGGTGGGATCCTGTTGCTCGGGAAAAACAGTTCCCAAAAAGGAAAAGCCAATGCACTCAGAATCAAATTCTCACTCATGCATCCTCCTGAGAGCTAGCAGTCTAGAGAAAAGTGTTAAATTACTTGCTAAGGAGAAATCAATCCTAAAAGCCAAGCTTTTATTCAGAAAACATCCAAGAGAGACAAGTGTCTTTTCTACTTCAGGAGCTTCATGCCTGAAGCATCACATAATGAAAAGCACACTACTGAGACCCCACTACAGCTCTTGTCTGGTTTGCATCTTGGGGAACAGTGATTGTCACGGTGTTGGTGCTCAGGTGAAACCTGAGAGGGGCAGAAGCAGAGAGATGATATCCAGTGCTGCTCTGACAGCTACGGATCTCTTTGCATCTCTGCAAAACGCCCGTTCTGTAGCTCCACAAATCAGCCTTCAGAATTCTGCCCAGTACCAGTGAGCACCCACAACAGTTCACACCTTCAGCAACTCCTGCCTTATTGATCCAGGAGTCTCCGGTCTTCCTCTGGTTCCTCTTTTGGAGGAACTGGAATGTCCCAGCTTTCCCTACAACTGCAGGCATCCCGTGCTCTCAGGTAAGGGCACGCAAGGTGTGATTTGCCAGACTTACCTCTGATGGCTGTTGATGTTGAGATGCTGTCACCAGAAGGGACCTCTCGGTCATCAAACCTGCATGAACCATCTCAGCCTGAGAATAAAGAGAAACATGAGAGAGCTTCCATTTTCTCCAGCATAACACTGCCATTCATTTGAGCTCACGCCGTCCCTTCCTTCTAGTTTACAAGGCAGTTATGGTGTCCTAAACACTGGGAAGCATAAGGAGATAAGGTGTTAGTGATCTAGTGATCCACAGAGCTGCCATAATTTTCTCCACACACAAAAATCATGTCGTAGCCTAGGCCAGATCAACCCTCTGCCCTTCTTCTGATTTGAAGGCACGCATAATCTGTTCTTCAATTTGATAACACATCCTTGAAGACAGCTATCTTCAGGGAAAGCTGATGAGAACTGTGCAGCTCTCTGGGTGGGCAACGCACAGGCATCCTACGAGCTCAGACCAAGGCCTGTGAGGAGAGCCAGGTTCTCAGCACCCAGAGAGTTCAGACAGTATTGTATTCATCTCGTGTGTGGGTCACAATCCACCAGAGGTTATCTGGGCAACTGTCTCGCATCCTCAGGGTGACTAACATCTGACAACACAGTGCTAAGTAACGGAGGGAGAAGAAAAGGATTCCTTACATGCTTCTGCACATCCCCGCCAACTTCTTTGCTGATGGTGATGTATTCAGCTACTGGGCCAGACAGAATGGCATCGAAAGCCTGCACATACTGAGCCACTCCTGCAGAGAACAGCACAGATATCAGCACATGGCACACGGAGCTCCCACAACCGCTGCACTCCCACCCACTGCAGCCGAACTTTTCGGAGTTGGGAAGGCGGTGGCTGCAGCCCAACGCGCAGCTGGGCACAGGCAGGGGAAGTGCTGCAGCCACAGGAAGCTGCCGTCGGGGCCGGATGGCAACCACAGCTCTGTGCACTTGCGCAGTAAGCTCCACGAAACTCGCTTCCTCTCACACCCCAGCTCCTGCAGCAGCCCCTGCTCGCACCCCAGGGCACTGCCCGCTCTGCAGCACATCCCACCGAGGCCCGGCGCCACGCTGGTGCTCAACAGGTGCTCCGGAAGCCACGAGACTCACCCGGGGAAGAGCCATCTCCACACATGCCAGGCCCTTGGCACACGGTCTCCAGGCGCTCCACGGCCCTCTCCAGCCGTTCCACCAGCCGCTCCATTGCTGCGATGTCCTCAGCCTGCACAGACAGACCGCAGTGATTCACGTCCTCTGACGGTACAGAATCCTACACTGAGCGTCGGAAAGGCTTAGCAGCAGCCTGCGATCCTGTGAGACAAACCCTCCCAGCTCCAGAAGAATTTCTACCTGCGCTGCGTCCCGGTGACAGACAGACTCTCACATCAGCAGGGATTTCGGATTATGCAATGGACATGCACATGGCTGCTTTATATTGCCACAGTCACTCCTTAATGGCTATATTGTTCCTGTTCCACTGCACAAGCCTGCTAACCTTATAAGGATATTAAAGCTTACACCTTCCAGCCTTGCACTGACACCACCCAATAAAGCAAATGTCTGTGCAGAATCTCAGTGCAACTGATTATTGGCCAAAGTCCCATTCACAGCAAATCAAATCAAGTATGACTGCTTACCAGAAGGAGTCTGTAGCTCCTCGGGGTTTCAATTCTACAAATGCGTCCACAGGGACCTCCTGGAGCCCTGAACGCCTCCACAGAGCACTTACAGCTCCTGCATCGCTGCTGCACAGCGTCAGCGTGTGGCATGAGCTGCCCTGGCAGCACCGAGGCGAGCAGCTGCAACTGCTGAGATGGCAGAACTGCTTCCACAACAATGTGCCCCTGTTTGTGCTCCCACCAAAGGCTTTGGCATCTGAACTGCAGCATCTACTCTGCAAGCACTGCACAGGAAAGTGACTTAGGCACATAAATCACCTGAGGCTTCTCATCTGGAGGAGTCTGAAGCGTAATACGAGCTTTCCATTAATTTCTGCTTTGTAAAGACTCTGCATGGAGGAGCATAGCAAGTCACCCTCAGAGCACACTAATGCCCAGGGAACGCAGGGAGGGAATAGCAATTCAGCAACCGTGTTTTTATCTTATCACCACTCCGTCAAAATATTTTACAATGTGAATCACCGCTGTGGCCAGAACAGGCTTCCTTCTGCTCAGCCCTGCCTGAGGAAGGCTCTCCCCAGCCCAACAGGAAGGCAGCGCTATCCAACTGCGCTCGCCAGCTGAGACCAGATCCTCGGAGCCCAAACCTGCAGTTCTAACACTGCTTTGTTTCTGCTCACAAGCTTCGGTCGGAGATCAACTGTGGCCATTCTCACACCTCAGCCGCCTACCTGCGGCAGCAGTGAGCTCCAAGAGGAGGCAGCAGCGTTCTGCCCGCACAGCAGCGAGCCGGGGTGGCCGCTCTGCATCAAACTGGTCAGCAGCCTCTGGAGGGCTTCCAGATGCATCAAGTTTAGACAGGCTGACACTTGTGGGCGGTCACCCACAGCTGGCAGTAACGAATACTTCTTTTTTTAACTCGGTATGATGCAGAAATCCTGACCGCAGGACCACCAGCACCCTGCTGCAGCAGGATGCATCCAGAACCGGGTTCACGTCTACAAGTGGGAGTGCAGACAGCAGCAAGGCCTGTCCCCACTCTTGCAAGCTTAAAGAGGAGCTTTTTTCCCCAAAAAGGCACCACTAAGGAAGCTCTCCCATGCCTTGAGCACAGCAGGACACAGGCATGCAACACAGGGGCATCAGGAAGGACAACAGGTTCATGGAGTGCTGGGTGCACAAAGCTGCAATTCTGCACCCTTGATCCACACCACATTCCACACCAGGCTCTAATCTGATCAGCCCCATTACCCAGTCTCAAACTGCAATTCAAATCGGGATTACGACCAGTAAGTCCAGATGGAGAGCAGTTCCTGTCCCAGCAATAAAACGCACTGTTGCACAGGGCGTAGAGTGTAAATTCCAGATACTCTGTTGGGCTTAAGGCCCCTTAGAAAAAGTGTTCCTCGAAGTCCTGGTTCCTGCCATTAGGCACATCCGTCCTGCACCTCGGCTGGGTCTCCCTGATGGGAAGCCATGAGCCCATAGCACTCAGTGCCAGCTCTGCAGACCTGAAACTGCCTGGCAGATGGTAAAATCACTTCCATTTCTTTAGCGGGCAGCATTAAAGCAACTTGGAAGAGAAGTCATTTGGTAAAGGGTCTGGGAGGTGAGAGCTACGTGCAGGCAGCACAAGTGCTAGAGCAGGCAGCTACACCATCACTCCTCACACAGCCATCCTGCCTCACCCCCACTGTGCTCTGTAGATGCTCTTTTGATCTACAAACCCAGCCTGGATAAAATAAAAAGGTTCAGCTCCACAGACAAGAGCCTAACGGATATCAGTAGCCAGAACATGCAATTCAGAGAAGGCAACGTTTACAGAGGGGAAAAAAAGATCACAAATAGACCTGCCTGGGCAGCACCTGAACAGCAATTTAACTATTGGCCGTTGGGAATGCAGAGGAACTTGTCAGTAAGCAACAAACTGACTTCACAGCTCTCAGAACGCACAGCGGGATGCCACCAGCCTTCCTCAAAGAGGAAGCTGAGAACCGATCACATCTGAGTCATTTCTGCTCTGCGCTGTACCATGCCCAGAAAAGGGAAAGGCCCCAGAGCTGTGCCACGCAGGGCCAGAGTGCAGCGACGGCAGCAGAGTTCAGCTGAAGCCCTTCCTGCTGGGGCTGCAATGCAGGCCTTAAATCCACGTCTTGTTTAAATTCAATTGAACTTTGATTACCAATGGAGTGGAAGCTACGGACTCTCAGCAAACGCCTGTGCATTTCACCCTGGTGCAGAATGCCTATTAATCTGCACAGCATGTTTGGTTAATTTATTAGCTAATCTTTACTTCCTCGCAGACTTGGGAACACAGGTTTGAGCACACTGCACAGCATGCAAGCTCTCATCAACAAGACCACTTTATAAAGCAATTGGAGCAATAAAGGGACGAGTTTTTTTCTTGTAAAAACAACACAGCCAATCCTACACCACAAACCCTAAAGAGGAGTTTCCTGTTTAGAGACCATCCCGGGGTCAGCGCGTCCCCGGCATCCAGCAGGCGCTCAGAGGAACAGCAGACACCAAACTGCCACAGCCCCAGTCTGATGGAGCCGCAGACTGCAGCTCCAGAACAGAGCCCAGCCCACGCCTCGGTGCAGCACAACGGAACGCTGTCAGCAACACGTTTGCATCAGCTACTTCCTGCTCTGCAAGCAGAGATGTAAAGATGGGAGAACTAAATTAGGAACATACCACAGCTTATTCTAGGCTGACACTGGAATATCTCAGGGGATCAGCTGCCAGATGACTTCCAGCGTTTATATCTTCCAAAAGACCAAATAATTTTTTTTTCCTAAAACGGTTCAGCTCAGAAAGGAAGGCCCTCTTTGCAGCGCCGCGGGGCGCAGCCCGCCGGTGGCCGACGAGCACGGAGCTCCACGCGGCCACACAGCAGCACCTGTTGGCAACGCCGAAGCCCGGGTGCCCACCGCTGGCGGCTGCGATCTGCCGCGTCCAGGAAACCAAAACCGCCTCGAAGAATTCACCTTAGCCGATCTGAGCTCTGCCAAATAACAAATTCTCCCGAACTCGTTACAGACGGGACGCGCCACGGGACGGGGGCAGCCGCGGTGCCCCGAACTCCCCGGGGACGCGGAGAAGGCTCCGCGCCGGGCAGGGAGCGCTGAGGAGGACAGGGGAAAGGAGGAGAAAGGAGGGGAGCGGCGGTGCGGCCGTCCCGCAGCGCTGAGGAGCGGCGCCCGCGCCGAGCCCCGCCCTGCGCCCCCCGCGAGCAGCGCCCCGGGGCCGAGGGCGGCGGGCGGAGCGGGCAGCGCGGAACGGCCGAGTCCCGCCACAGGGGGCGGCCGGGGAGCCGCGCGGATCCCCGCCGCGGCCGCCCGCCCCCACCGGCGATACAGCGCCGCCGCGGCCGAGAGAGCGCTGCCCTGACGCTCCTGCCACGCCCCGCAGAGCGCCCGGCCCGCAGCACCCCGCGACCCCGGCTGTGGCGACACTGCGGATCCGCCGCACTCACCTCCCGCTGCCCCGCTGCCGCCGCCGCCGCCCAGCACCCCCCGCACCCGCCGCTTCCGGCCCCCGCCCCGCGCACCGGAAGTGCGCACGGCCCGGCGCGGCGCGCGGAGAGGGGAGGAGCCTTGGGCGTCGGCGGCCTGCGATTGGATGAGAGGGGGAGGGGGAAGACAGGAGGGGCGGAGCCCCAATAGGGAGGGGCTTCTTTGGGGGCGGGGTTCCCGCTCGGGGCGGGGTCTCGTGGGCCGCTGTTGCGGCGGGCGCGGCTCGGAGGGCGGCGGCCGTGCTGCCCCCTGGCGCCGGTCCGTGCCGCCGCCCCGCGCCCCGCGGCCTGCCGGCGTCTCGTTCTGGGGCAGAGCGAAATGGGAGCTCCGCTCCGCCGCGACACGATGTCGGCAGCGCGGGGCCGTCCGTAAATCATTAACAGCAGCCCACCGAAACGCGGCGGCAGCCTTTGTGTGCGAGGCTGTTTGCAGAGGGGAGCGTGACCTCCCTCGGTCCCTGCAGCGCAGCCGCTCCGCGATCATCTCCCGTGTCGGAGCGTTTCCGCACGCCGTCATCACCGCTGCACAACGTGGCCTTCACTGCGGTGCTGGAGCTCAGCCCGGGCGGTGCTGTCAGTTCCTGCGCTCATTTCCCCCCATCTCCTTTCTTAAAAGTCCCGAATAGAAGAGATGCACTCAGCAAGGAATGTCCAGGCACGGGCTCAAGCTGACAGTGCTTTTAGCCCCTTCAGCTGCATGCAGAGCCTGAACGGAACCTCCCTACGAACCCCACAGAGGCAGAGAAGAGGAGGTGGGGAGTGAAATGCCACTGTTTTATGTCCGAAATCTGAGAAAGAAAAGGCAGCAGCGATTTCACAGCCCCGGGCAGCAGCGATGGACAGCTCAGCTCGTTTTCCCCTGCTGAGGTCGTTGCGCTTCCACTGGGCCCGAGCAGCACTGGGCGCACATGCAACCTCCCCAGCCCGTGTTCTCGTTCCTATTTCTTAATGCTCCATTCTCATTCCCATCCTTTATAGCTGGAAGTGGAACAAAAGTGAGCCCTCTGTAAGGGACTTCGGCTTTGACCCGGCTCAGTTCGTTTGACAAACACGCTTCAAATGGCAGCCACAGCACAGTGCTCTAGGGACAGCACAGAGCTGTACAGCCCTGCTGCTGGCTCCCACCCCAGGCTGCAGCCCCTGCCATAGGAGCACAGTGCTCCCAGGGAGCAGAGCTCTCACGGAAGAGGTGAATATGAGCACACAGTATAAATATCTGCACAGATCAGCACTTGCTGAGAGCTCTGCCTGGGGAAGAAGTGTTGAGTATCACCCACCGTCGCGTTCCATTTCCCCCTGCTTGGCAGCTGCTGTTCCTGTTTCCAGCACAGTGCTCGCGCTCTCCCCCAGCAGCACCTCAGTGTCATTCCTCCCTCCACCTCCCTCCCCCTCCTCTTGAAAGGGAGAAAATAATGGTGCCTTTGTTGGTCTGCTGTAGCGCAGGCACTGTGCAAGGAGCAGGGCTGTGAGGTGCGGCTGCGGGTGCCACTCAGCTCCTCCACGCAGCTCTGCAAGTCCCCCCACTTTCATGTGAATCAATACTAACAGGTCCTCAAATTCACTCCCAGTTCATTATATACAAATAGCAAAGTTTAATATTTACACCATTAAGTTAATCATCTATATAAAAAACCCAACCAAACAAACAGAACAGCTTCCTGACTTAGTGTCGTATGTACAGAGCGCAGCGGTGAGCTGCCCTTGGCACGGTCACAGTGTAATGTACACTACCACGGCCCGGCCCCGCCGCGGAAGGGGGCTGCGCTCTGCCGGGCCGGGGAACGGCAGCTCCAGCTGCGTGGGTCCATCTGTGTAATGTACACTACGGGCAGCCCGCGGCCCCCGGCCCCACCGTGCTGCAGGCGGGCGAGCTGCGGGTCACACGATGTTGGCCAGCTCTGTGGAGTCCGACTCGGAGCTGCTGTTGCTCTCCTCCCTGCAGGGGAAGAAGGTGTGAAGCACGGCCCGCCTCCATCCCACAGGGCCGCTGCAGCCAGCAGGGAACCCCACAGCCACCGCGTGCAGACCCAGCCCGGCTCTTTAGCAACCAGGGCCGGTTCTGTGCCAATCTCCAACGCTTCACGCCACCTCCCCGGCAGCCGGGATTGGCAGAACCGCCGCTCCTCACTGCCGCCCACAGCTCCCAGACGCGCCCCAGTGGTGCCCGACGAGCCCAGGCCCGACCCGGCCCCGCAGCCCTGGCACGCGACGCGGCCGCCTCACGGCACGGGCCCACGCCCACCTCAGGTCCTGCAGGGCCTTCTTGTTCTCCCTGCGCTTCTCCTCGTCGATGGGGTACAGCTTGAAGAGGAGCAGGCCCAGCAGGATCAGCCCCACAGGCACGGCCGACACCAGCAGCTTCAGGGTGACGTTCACCTCGCTGGGCTGGGAGCAGCCCCGTGTTTGGTACCCCGCAAAGCTGCGGATGAGCACACGTCAGATGGGAGAACGGCAGCTGGGCTGCACCCCGCTGCCGTCCCCACCACACTCACTCCAGGCTGAGCGTGGAGATGCCCAGCGATACCCCAGAGGTGAACTTGGTAAAGAAGACGTAGAAGGAGAAGAAGATGGCTTCGTGGCCGCGGGATTCAGGGTGCTGCAGCTTGAAGTCATCTATGACGTCCGGCAGCATGGACCTGTGTGGAGACAGGTGAGCATCTCCCACCGGGACCCCCAGGGGTCACAGAGTGCCCCGCAGAGCCCAGCCCTGCTCTCAGCACAGGGCCTTTGCTCACCAGGGCAGAAGGAAGGCAGCTGCCACGCTGATCCCTGCCGCCACCGCCACGATGTAGGTGATGACGAGGTTACTGTCCAGGACAACCACCATGATGAGGAAGGGGACAGCGGACTGCAGGGGGGAAAAGAAGCTGGGTTGGTCTCCCAGAGCCCTCAGCTGCTGCCCTCAGCCCCATCCTCCCCAGTGATGGCCCCAGCAGGCAGCTCTGTGCATCCACTCACCGAGATGCCCACGTAGACAGCAGTCTTCTTCCCAAAGCGGGTGAGGAACCACTGCCAGAAGGGGATGGTCAGGGTGGCTGACAGCTATGAGAAGGGGGGCTTGTGGTCACTGCCTGTCCAGGCTCTGCCCATCGGTCTCAGCCCCTCACCCAACACCCCAGGCTTTCACAAGCCACCCACTCCCAAGACTGAAGTAGGCACGTAAGGACACTGCAGAGCGCTCCAGTACCATTCCCCTCAACCAGCCAAGGACCCGCCTGCCGTGGACATGGGAAGGAGCCAGATCCACCCCCGCTGCAGCCAGGAGCCAGGCTCTGCAGGGCTTGGCACTTCGGACCTCCCCATCCCATAGGACTCCCAAGGAGATGTTGTGTTCTGTCCCAGGCAGTGAACACCAAGCTCCTTTACTCAAGGAGGGGAAGGGAGATAAGTGGCCAGATTTGGACAAAAGGCCCCCACGGCTCCTGTTCTTCCATCTCTGGCAGCCTTCATGTGGGAACAAAGGCTTTGCTGTTCCTGCCAACCCACCCCGCTTTTGTGACTCCTTCTCTCTCCTCTGCTCCCAAGGGACTTTTGGTCACTGTCCCCACAGCCCTTGACCTCCCTTGCTCCCCAGCTCAGACATGGGATGCTATTGTGTGCATCCCATCCCTGGGGGGGTCCAGTAGGGCCATACGCACCATGATGGCCAGGAGGATGTTCTGGAACTCGTTGCGGAAGCCCAAGGTGTAGGTGCAGAAGAGGGCGAAATTGCCCTCCAGCAACTGCAAAGGGAGCAGACAGTGGTCAGGGGAGGACACCCTGGGCACTCCGAACAGACACCAGTGTCCACTCTCCATCCACATCCCCGCTCTGCTCCAGATCACTGATCCTGGCCCACCAGGCTCCGGTTTGCCCCTGCTCATCTTCCAACCCAGCCCTCCTCACCATGAAGGCCAGTGAAGTGAAGAGGAAGCCGGTGATGAGTTTGATGTAGGCACCGTGGTTCATCACCAGCTTCAGCCCTCGGAAGAAGGAGACGGGCTCATCTGACTGCAGCTCAGAGGACTCTGGGGAGCAGAATGAGCCCACCGTCAGAGCCACAGACAGCACCCTGGGGAAAGTACCCAAACCTGATGCAGAACAGCACACAGGACCTGGGGGGATAAGGGCAATGGGGGAAAGGAGCCCCCAGCAGAGTCTCAGAGGGTCACTGCCTTGCCCAAGCCGAGCTGGGTACAGAACACAAGGGCAGGACCAGAGCCCTGGACTTTGGATATCACCTTGCACTGGGATGCCAAAACCGGCATCACAAACTCAGCCTGCCAAAGCCAAGTGAGAGGAACATTATCTCTGGCAGCGCAGTGAGATGAGCCAGAGATGCTGTGCCCTCCTCCCACAGCACTGCCATTCTGCAGAGCCATCCCAGCTCCTCAGCCCCTCTCTATGGGGCAGGACCCTCAGATGAGACCACAGCTCCTCCAAGAGCCCCACACATCACAGCCCCTCTCCGTCTCACCTCTCTTCTCCCGCACGCCCACCGATAGGATGACAGCACAGAGGATGTAGAGCCCCCCGATGACCCCCGCTGCAACCATGTAGGCATTTCTCTGTGCGAGAGGGGAAGCAATAAGGGAAGGCCTCATCCCGGCAGCCAGTGCTGCCCAGGGGAGCAGCAGAAACCAGCAAGCGCCCTCAGTTTACCGTGTCTGCCAGCGAGCCGCTGTAGTGGGTCATGTTCACATTCCTTATGGCCGCTGAGAAGTTGTTCTCACTCAGGAAGGGGGGGTTCTCGATGCAGGGGGCAACTGCCTTGCCCACAATCTGGCCCTGGATGGCGGTGCCCAGCACAGTGCCCAGCACCTCAACCGTCATACCTGGGGAGACGCACCGGGGCTGAGCTTGGGGCTCTCTGCTCCCCTTGTCAGCAGCAGAGATGAGCCAGCACAGCTCTCCTACAGCTTCACCCAAACCAGAGAAAAAAGCCCTGTGCTATGCAGGGAACATCTGCTGGAAAACCAAGATGGGAGGCGAGGTATGCCTGCACTTGGGCACATCTGCCTTATAGCAGAGAGGGAGGGAGGACTGAGGAACAGCTCTCAGACTTAACAGGAATGCGTGCCAGAGGAGATAGGAAAGAGGAACAGAAAGACCTGGACCAGCTGCAGCTCAGGCCCTGAACAACACTCCTAGAGATGGGAGATGCAACCCAACAATCCTCTCCCTGCACCTGCACGAGGATCACACCCCAGCGGGAGCAGCAGCGAAGGAGCTGAGCACTGTGCAGGAAGGGGAAGAAGCACTTACGGTAGGCAGTGGCTGAGTCCCTCTCGCTCTGCTCCCTGCTGATGAACATCGTCAGCGCCGAGTAGGGCACGTGGAAGCACTGCAGCAGCACCAGAGAATGGGCTCAGGGCTGCGAATGTTGGCGGGACCTGGCCAGAGGTCCCGTCGCCCTGCTCTGTCCTGCTGGCCCAGCAGGTAGAGCCCGACTCACCGTCACAAGGGTCTGGAAGATGCAGTAGAAGATGAGATACCACATCACTTGGCCCCTGGAGATGTCTGGGACGAACCAGATGAGGAAGTAGGAGATGACAGCAAATGGGGTAGAGAAGATGATCCTTTGGGAGGACACAGCGTCAGCTTGCAGGCAGAATTTAATTCCACCGGCCCAGCTCTCCCCACTGCTATACGGACAGCGGGGACCAGGGCCATGATTCTGGGGACCCCCAGCTGCCCCAAGTGGCCCACCCTGCTGGACTGGGTGCCACAGGGCTGCAGGCAGCACCTCAGCTCTCACAGCAGGGAGGGGAATGGGTTGACTCAGACTTTCGCAAAAAAGCTGCATCTGCATGAGCAGGCATCCCTGCTGCGATGGAAGGGATGATCTGCTCCTGCCATCAGCTCCCCGCCCCGACCCTTCCTGCAGGCAGGATGATCCTTGCTCAGCAGGATGCTGTCACTCTGCATCTCCTGGCAAGGGCTGCAGAGCAGCCAGGAGCGCAGTTCCCTGCCCACACCTCTTGCCCTTGCCAGCACCAGGCCCTCATCCCAGGGTCTCCCCTGTTCAGCTGGCAGGAACAGGGCGAGTCCCAGCCAACAGCAACTGCTCCTTCCTGCAGCTCTGCAGTGTGCAGCAGGACATGGGTTGCAAAGCACAACAGGATCAGGGAGGGGGCATTGCTCAAGTACCAGAGCTTGGCACTTGGCTGTCAGAACTGGCCAACAGGCAAACAGCAGTGAAAAGCCACCCACTGTGTCTTGACTTCATTCTGTCTTTGCTTGCAGACTTGCAAGCACCCTATGCTCCACAAGACACTGAATGGGGGCTGCACTCAGGAACCAAACCAGCAGAGCCAGGTGGAGCCACACAATGTCAGAGCTGTCTGCAATGAGGGGACAGGGAAATCTTTCCATCCAAGCTGACATACAGGACACAAAGTTAAATTTAAGTTGGGGAGAGCATTGAGAAACCGTATCTCCATGGATGAAGCAGGCAGACACACTGCATGGAACGCAGCACACGCACATTTTTCCGCACAGACGTCACCCTGGTGGGGGGAGGAAGGGGGAGCCCAGCTCACAGCCACTCCTCTCCGGCGCCCTCACTGCCACGCAGATGTGAGCCGAGAAGGTCGGAATCGCTCACTGCAGCCCCACGCACGGCGGGAAGCGGCCGCATTGCTGCGGCACCCAGGTGCACGCGGGGCGAGCGTCACCCCCAGGGTGCCTCCGGCTCCGCGATGGGGCGCCGAGCCCCGCGGCCACGGGGCGAATGACTGGAAGTGACCCGCGGGCGCGGTGCCGGTGACGCACTGCTGCGCTCATTGGCTGGGAGTGATGGCGTGTTCCTTTGTGCTCGCTTCCCAGTCCTGCGGTTTAACCGTTTGCAAACGGCCGCTGCCCGGAGGAGGAAGGTCGGAGCCGGGACGCTGCAATCAGCAGCACGTCAGGGGAAAGTTTGGTCATCGGAAAGAGGGGAAATGCTGCATGAAAGCAGCGCAGCATGTGGACGAGCTGCTGGGAGGAAGCGTGCCAGGAAGGGCTTCCAAAGAAAGAGCTGAAAGGAAGCAGGAGCTGCCTCGTGCTTTGAGTCAGAGCCCCACGACACGCACTTCAGAGCCTGGCAGAAATTCACCCCCAGGATCCCACCGCAGCGTACCGAGGGTTGGGGATCAGGCGGCAGCCCAGGGCCGTCACCGTGCCCAGGGAAACCAATGCAGCAGCAGAGCTGCAGCAGCTGGGGGCTGCCAGTTTCCCCTGAAGACAGAAATAACACCTGCAGGCCGAGGGGCCCACCATGCCACAAAAGCGATGGCTAATTTTAACAATGCAAGAGCCGTTCGGAGGAATGCAGCAGCTCCATCCCCACCCCTACCCTGAGATTACAGAGCAGAGCTGCAGCTGAGCACAGCTATCCTGCCCAGCCCCATGCTAATCTCCAGACCCCAGACCCGCCACGCTGCCTACAGGGAGGCTATTTCAGGCCACGCATGGAACCCAGCTTAACCAGGCAGCTGCCTCTGCCCACAGCTATTCACGGAAACCCCCATGGAAACAGAGGGTGTAATTGCAGGGGAAAGCAGTGTGTCTCTACAGCCACAGCCCCCTGAGCCTGCCCCCTTTGCTCCACTGTGCTTCAGCACCCTGCAGGTTATTTTGGTGTGGGACACACCACCATGTCCACACTCAGATATTAGCACCCTACGGCTCTCATCCTGCTCCTGAAGATTGCGGCGCTCGCTGTCCTGCACAGGGACAGGTGTTGATGGACATCACCTCTGAGTCCACACCCAGAACCCTTGGGGTTCTGCAAACACACACACCTCCAACTTCCCCTTGCTCTGCACTTCGCTCCCAAGGGGAGCACCCACATGCAGACTCCTGGAGCTGTGGCAGCTGCTCTTCCTGTTCACACCACATCCTTGTGACCATCAGCTGGTATCCCACCTTCCCACATCACTGCGCACACCCTCCCTTCCCCCCCGCTGCAATGCCACCTGCTCTGCAGACAGTGTGTCCCTGCTACTGGCCACAGACGGGGGACTGCCACAGGAGTCTGCACCCAGCACCTGCGTGTGGCACAGGGCACTCCTGCAGGGCTGGAGCCCGTCCAGGTGTCGTGGCACCAGGGTGCACCCAGGGACAGCTTAAGTACAATGGGGTCACAGACAGAGCAACGCTTCTGGCAGCACCCTGGGCTTTTGGGGCACCTGCCACCTCCACTGGATGAAATAGGCTGCGGGCACATCCTGCCCTGCCAACCTCATCCAAGGGTCACCCATAGCTGACGGCAGTCAGCACATAGGGAAGGGACACCGGCAGCACTCACCATGGCATCAGGCGGCCAAAGCGCGTCCATGGCGTCTTGCTGATGAAGAAGCCCACCATGGGGTCTGTGACGGCATCCCACGCTCGCCCCACAAACAGGATGATAGAAGCATAGAATGGGTCAAGCTGCAGGAGTCAGAATCACAGAATGGCTGAGGTTGGAGTCCACCCAGTTCCAACCCCCACCACAGGCAGGTTGCCCCCCCACCAGCTCAGGCTGCCCAGAGCCCCATCCAACTTAGCCTTGAATGCCTTCAGGGACAGGGCACCCACAACCCGTCTGGGCAGCAGTACCAGCATCTCATTGCCCCCGGAGTAAAGAACTTTTTCTTAATATCTAACCTAATCTCCTTTCTTTCAGTGTAAAGCTACACACTCTCCTCCTATCACTGCCAGACCGCGTAAGAAGCCGGCCCCCTCCTGTTTCTAAGGGACCTTCAAGGCACAGATGGGCTGTGAGGGCACAGAACCCCGGGACCGTCTCGCTGAGCTCCCAAGAGCCCACAGCCGTCCCACCAGCGCGACTCGCCGTTCAGCAGCGGGGACGCGTGGATCCGCGCGCTCCCAATGCGGAGCCCGGCAGCGACTCCCCCCGCAGGACCCGGATCCCGCCGCCCCACAAGGAGCCCGACCGAGAGCCGCCGCCTCCGCCCCGTCCCGGTACCTGCGCCACGTCTAGGAGGTAGATCTGGAGGAAGAAGCCCAACGCGCAGCCCGTGGTCTGGTAGGGGGCCCCGCCGACGGCGTAGCACAGCTTGCTGCACACCGATAGCCGCTCCCGGCTCTCCTGCAACGGCCCGCGGCGTCAGGGTCGGGGAAAGGGAGGGGAACCGAGGACGGCTCCGGGCGGGGCCCGGGAAGCCCCGGGGAGAAGGGAGGGAGGCGGCAGCTCACCCTGCGGCGGGGCTGGCGGCAGGAAGGCGGCAGCAGCCCCGCAGCCGCTGCCCCAACGCGGACGCGCTCCGCACCGCCGCCCCCAGCCATGCTGCGCGCGATGAATGGGGCGCGGAGCCGCCGCCCGCGCGGCCTTGTACGCGCCCGCCCCGCCTCCTGCCGCCCCGCCTCCTGCCGCCGCCCTGCCCCCTGCCGTCCGCCTCCTTCACTTCGACCCCAGCCTCAGCCCGGCTTCCCACCTGCCGCCCCCGACCTTCCCTGCCCCCCTGCCCCCCTGTCCCTATTCCTTCGCACACCCCTATGCCAGCTTCGTGCTGCCCTGCAAGGGTTCGGGGCAGTGGAGTCACTGTCACCTCCCAATGCTGCCATCATCCCTCTGTGCCACCATCACCTCCCTGTGTCAGGCACCCATTGCTGACGGCTGGGGATCAGCTCCAAGGGCGCCCTGTGCCCCAGTGCAGCCCCACTACAACCCTCCGTCAAAGGGACCGCAGTGAAGCACGACTGCTGCTCTCAGCCCCCCAGTCCCCCCACTGCTGACTCTGTGCCATGCGGGCCCTGGTTTGTGGATGGCAGATGGCAAAAAGTCGGGGCACAGGGATGATCCCAATCTTTACGAGCCCGTGCAGGCTACAGAAGTCTCTTCTGACTCAAATTACCCCAATTCCTGTGCTTTAGAAGTAATCAGCAGAGAAGCAAGGCAGCAGCTCATGTTATCAGGGTACACTGGAAGCACTGGGATGGAAATGAGTGCTCTGATGTATGCGACATTTCATCATGCGATGTCTTTATCCTAAACCAGTGAATGCAATTCCAAGTCCTCATGTTGTCATGAAAGTCAGAAGTTTATTTTCTTAAAATCCCAAATCGTGAAACCCCTCTTTTGTGAGGAGTGTGGCCTTTGTTTAAAACCCTTCTGGACACAGAGTGCCCTGAAGGCCTGGCTGTGAGACAGAGGCAGCAGCAGGAGGTGATGGGAAGAGCACTCTACTGCTGCACCTCAGTGCTGCTCGTGGCGCCGGGGCTGTGCCTGCAGGACGACAGGGCTTTGGGATGCAGCGTCTGGTGATAGCATTCCATGCAAGGTAATGAGTTTGGCGAGCTTAAATGGCCTCTTCTAGCAAAAACAAAGCTTTGGTGCCATGTCAGCGCAGTGACAGCCACCAGCATTGCTCAGGCCACCACGGAGCAAAGATCACACTGAGAAGAGCCATGGGATGGGGCCAGCATGGAATTAACCCCATCCTCAGCCCCTGAGCGCTGCTACTGCCACTGCTGCCATCCTGAGAGCTCCTCGGCTCCTGGTGGCACTCCTGCTCTCAGGCACAGTGCGAGGAGCTGCTCCTCAGTTTTGCTTTGTGCTGAGTCTGTGCAGAAGGGCCACAAATAGGCACAGCCCAGCCCTGCTGTGCATCTGAAGCACGAGAAGCAGAATGACCGGGATTTGGAGATTTCCTGGAATTAGGAGGATTTTCTCCCTGCCTGGCATTGTGCAATGTCAGGGAGTGGGTAAGATGTTAAACCTTCTGCCAAGCAGATGCCCAGGGGATACTCGCAGCTGTGAAGCAGTCGCTGAGGATGGCACCCGCGCGCTGGCCCTGGGGTCGCAGGGGATGGGGACAGGGGAGGGGAAAGGGGTCACGCTGATAGTGATGGCTCTGCCTCCTGCCTGCCACCCATACGTCCCGGTATCACAGGTCAGGCACAGCCCAGAGCTGAGCATGTGTGAGTGCACCCAAAACCAGACAGTACTGCTGTTGGTGTCAGCGCCGCTCCCTGCTGGGGGCAGCCCCAGGGCACCTCCAGGTTCAACGCATTGCTGGCACTGCACGTGGGCAAAATGGGTCTGGGAAGGGATAAGGAGGCACCAGGGACAGTTTTCCCCCCTGTTTACTGCACTTTGCTGCCTGCTGCACTCAGCATGATTCTGGTAGTGGTGCTTTGTGTGTTCCTGCACCCGTGGGGCCTGAGGATTTTGCAAGGGCCCCATGGCTTCACGGGGGCAAAGGAGACACGTTGCATGGTGATACGTGGCAGTCCTGCCCTGATCAAATCCATCCCATGGCACCTCAGGCAGAATGTTGCAGTGGGGGGTGGGGGACAAGATGCAGATGCGGGTTGGTGTGGGGACTCAGCCCAGGAGCCCCACGGGGATGACAGGGGAGCTGCTGCAGGATGGGAATGGCCAGAGGCGGGGAGCAGCCTGGGGAGCTCTGGGACACCCTGCAGGATGCATTGATGGGAGCACTGGGGCCAGAACAAAGTCCAGCCCTGCTGTCAGCGGGGATCCAAAGGGCACCACTGGCTGGGGACTGCCTCGTGCCACCCTGGAGCTGTGCCAGCCGCTCCTGTGATGCAGCCCCTGCAACGCAGCCCCTGCAAAGGGAGCACGGCTGGGCGTCTGTCCAGCCCCGGGAAGCCACCTGCAGTGCTGCGTCGCCAGGCACCCCCCTTCTGGTCACCCACTTCTGTTTGCACAGCCCACGAGGAACAGCTCTCATGCGCTCTTTACTGAGATTAAAGGGCTGCGCGGCTGCTCCAGCCCCTTTCGGCGGTCCTCTCATACCCTCGAAACATCCGGAGCTCCTTGAGAACGGGGCAAACTCTTGCCGCACCTTGGGAAAAGCTGGAGAGGTCCAGAGGCCTCGGGGAAGGCAAGGAGCCGCGGCCGAGAGCCCCGCATCGGCTCAGCCGGCGGCAGAGACGGTCCTGCGGGTGGGAACGGGGCGCTCAGGGTGCACTGACCCTCCCGGTGACCGCGGGGCGCCGCGCGTTCGGGGCCGCAGTTGGAACTCGGCACGGAGAGGCGCATCTCGGCCCCGCCAGCTCCGCGCCCGGCAGGTGGCGTGCGGAGCCCGCGGCTGAGAGCAGCCGGGACCCGGGGCGGTGCGGCGGGGTGGGGGCGGGATGGAATGGAACGGTGATGGAACAGGGACGGGGCTGGGGATGGGTGCATCCTGGACGGGGCTGCTCATCCTGGGCGGGGGCTCAGGGACTCAGCCCCCCGGCTCCCAGCGCTGCTGATTGGAGCTGCACATCCCAGGTGGACTTTGTAACGGTCGTTAGAGCTCGAGCAGAGCCTGGCAGCATTTCCACAACGTTTATTACCCTTCTTAGAAAGAACTTGGCAGCAGTGAAGTGCAAAGTGCCAAGGATAGGAACTGAGTGCACAGGTAGGGCTCTGCTGGCCCCAGCGCTGTGGCCCCCTCGGACGTCCCCAGGCAGCATCTGTGCCCTGTCTGTGCACACTTCATTCCTCGTGTGCAGCCGGACGGTGAAGCTCACATCTCCATAAACCAACTTCTCCCATGCACAGCTGCATGCTGCCAGCGGGGCCTGGGTGTCCTCAGTCAAAATCCGCCTTGCAGAGGTCCCAGCTCCTCCGTGCTTGTGGATGGGGCTCCTCAAACCGCGACGTTTCCATGCGGCTGAGGTGCACTGGGACGCAGAGAAATGGATGCTCTGGGGTGCTGAGGCCTATGCTCTCGGTTTCCCCATTCTCACGCTCGCTCCGCGCAGGTGATTTAGGTGGGAATGTGCAAATCCGCGTTAATGGGAAGAATTTGACAATCAAATGAAGCTTTTCTCCGCCCGGCACACGGCGGCAGTGGGAGCTCCGCCGGCTGCAGCGCCCCGGGGCCGCCACAGGCCGACTCCGCGCCCCGCACGGGGGGAAACTGAGGCACGGCCGCAGCATCCCCCGCGCTGAGCCCCCTCGGGGGGGAGGAGGGGGGCGGGGCGACAGGACAGGCCACGCCCCTTATGCAAATATGGAGGCGCCGATTGGGAGCGGGGCGGGCCGGCGGTCTCACATAGGCTATAAGAGAGGGGGGAACAATGCGCCCGCGTCTCCGTTCCGAGCCGCCACCGCCACCCGCAGCGTCGGGCGAGGGGGGCGCGGTGGGGGCGCGGAGGAGGCGGCTACTCCCGGCCCCGCCGCCCCCAGGCTGTGGGCCCCCCATGCAGCCATGGAGCGGGACGCGTACCAACACTACTTCTACGACCACGACGCGGGGGAGGATTTTCACCGCTCCACGGCTCCCAGCGAGGACATCTGGAAGAAGTTCGAGCTCGTCCCCACACCACCTCTCTCGCCTCTCGGGGAGCGGCCGGGCTGCTCGGCGGCGGAGGAGCGGGGATGCCCCCCGCGCTGCTGTCTGCCCGACGAACCCGAGTATCTTATCGGCACTGGGCAGCTCTTCGGCAACCTGAGTGCCTTCATTCTGCGGGACTGCATGTGGAGCGGCTTCTCGGCCCGGGAACGGCTGGAGAAGGCGATGACGGAGAAACTTTCCACGGGAACTCCGCGGGCAGCGCCGCACAAACCGTCCTTCGGCCCCGATCTGGGGTTCGGCAGCTCTGTGAGTGACTGCGTGGACCCCGCCGCCGTGTTCCTGTGTCCCCTGGCCGAGAGCAAAGTGCCCCCGTCCTCGGGGTCGGAGGGCCAAAGCGATTCCGGTAAGGGCGCGTCCGGTGCGGGGGCACCGAGTGCGGAGCAGAGCCTTTTGGGCGGCCCAGCGCCAACAAAGGGGACGCGACGCTGCCTCCTGGGGACGGCTCTGTCCCCCGTGAGGATGGGGTGGGGGACGCTCGTGCCTTTTTCCCAAGCTTTTCAGCACTGCTGCTGGCTCGGAACCTCGAGCGCTGCCTCGCATCCTCGGGACAAAAGGCGGAGCATCTCCGGGGCGGGCCCGGAGCAGGCGGAACATCACCGACGGCAGCGGACGCAGCGCTGCGGGGGCTATGCCCACCCCTCGGGGCAGCTCCCGTCCGCCCGCGCTGACCCCCGCCGGGCACAGCTCCTCCCCGGGTCGCGGGTTTTCGGGGCTTCGCAGTCCCCCGCCCCACACCAGTTCCCATTCCCGGGCTCACGGCCGCCGGGAAGTGCTGACGCGGGGCCGTGACCCCATTAATAAATCTGCCGGCCGGTGAGTCACGGCGAGGGCCGGGCGCTTAATGCCATTAGCAGCCCGGGCGCGGTAAGCAGGTCGCGGGCGTAAGAGGCTTAACCCGGATCCGCGGGGCTGGGGCGGCCGGGGGTCCCGGGTCGGGTTCTGTCGCGCCACGTGGGCGCGAACAAAAAGCAACAG